CAAAAAAAGATAAAAACCATAATAATGTTGAGTTTAAAAGAAGTGTACTAATGAATCTAATCTGTGATCTTGAATTTGGATATCTTTGAGGTTGAAGTTCAATCAAAAGTTTTACTTAATTGATAAATCCTTGAAACTTGATTCTTGTGCCATCAAACTTTTCAAGGAGAGCAACTCTTGGTTCTCTAGTATTGGAAGGATATTCTACTATAAGAAAAATGATATGATTGGATGTAGATGTTGAAGCAGCTCCAATTATATTTATATCTTTACTTCTTAATATTCTTATTGTTCTTTGTGGTGGTAAATTTAGTCGATGCATTGCAAGCATTAATTCTACCATTTATTCTTACATTTGTGTCATTGCACTATTTATTTAAATAAGATTTTTCATGATAATATTTAAAAAATAAATGTCTCATATCACTCAAGACAAGCAAAAGAAGGGACTCAAGAACAAAGAAGATATTAAAAATAATATTAATTTATAAAAAGGTAATTCATAATTTCTAATACACTTATGTCTTATCAAGAAAAAGAAATAATCTGCAACTTCTAATATGCTTATGTCTTATTAAAAAAAAAAAAAAAAAAAAAAAAAAAAAAAAAAAAAAAAAGCTAATCTGTAACTTCTAATATACTTATGTCTTATCAAGAAAAAAGAATAATCTACTCTTAATCAAGAGAAGACAAAGCTCTAATATTGTAAGTATACTCATGTCAATTTATCAAGAACATGAATTGAAAGAAGATACATAAACCTAGGAAATCTATGTCAAAAAAAAAGTGACAAAATAAAAATAAAATAATATGTATATTAAAAAGAAATTAGAATGGCTATTGCCAAAACATAAGAAAACTAGAGACTCTTGAATTTAGAGTAGAAGCAAGAAAAGAATTGAAAAGAGTAAAGAAGGCTTCAGTTTTGTATCTATATATACTATCTAATTAAGAATTAAGTGGCAATGTTCTATAGGACCTTTGATATGTATTGACTTTGCAAGACACATGCCTTAGCTTACAAGAAAAGTTTTTTTATGTGTGGATGACATAATTAGCTTGTTCTTCAAGCTACCAATATGTATGGCACATGGCCAACTTGTTAACCATGTTTTTAACCTAAAAAGTCAATTATAGACACTTATAAAATCAAAGTAGCATATATGAAGCTTCTAAGAATTTTTTATAGAAGATATTATGGAATTAATCTACTTTTACATACTTTTATGTAATCATATAGGTAATTATTGGTTTACATGTATATGTCCATGACGATTGCCTAATAATATTTTATTGTTAGAAAACAAGGATGGACAAGAGTGTCAAAAGCATTCAAAAATTTGTACTCCTTCTTATCTTCATATGGATGATTTTGTACATCATGAAGTTATAATTATACTAATTGATCTTCCTTGTTTTATATGTAGTAAGATGAAAGATATTGATACATGCTTTTGTATGATAAATGCCAACATAGATAGCATATGGCATGTTTGATACCACTTCTTTTGACTCACCTTTTTAAAGATTGAATTTGTCCTTGTTATAAGAAATCTTTCAATCATACTTCATCTATTGATTAGAATTGAAGATTTCTTTTATTGTATTTGTCACACACCTAGATGGTTTAGTTGCTACAATATTACATTAGATGAGTACAATTTGATAATAATATCATTGTAGCATTTAGCTTCAACTATGTATGTTTTGTAGTTCCAAGTAATTAAAGTGGCTCCTAATCAACTAAGAAGGCATTAGAGAGTGTATTGGTTTTGCATTTGTATTTATTTTAGATTATATAATTTGTGATTAGTTTGTAGTATTCAATGTATTATATATAATAATCTTTATTTATCCAAATTTTTTCATGTAATATGGTATTGGATGCCAAATCTTATTGAATAAATTTAGTTTAGTTTGGTTAGTATTTTTTCATCTATTGGAATTATTTCATTAAATTTCAAGTCGAGTCTTGTCAGTGATTTTGAAAGAAAAAAAAATTATTATAAGAATTTGCTTAGCTATAGTAATTTAGCCATTTTAATAAAGCTTTAGGATTTTTTTTACTTTCACACTTATACTCTTGGATTTCCTCTTTGTGATGTAAAAGATAGCTTGACTTATTTTGTGTAGATTTCTAATCTTTCCTTAAAATTTTGTTGGTTGTGCATTTATATTTGGTTCAGATGACACACTTTGTGATTGATTTGTAGTACTCAATGTATTGTATATAATGATCTTTGTTTAAATTTAATTTAATTTAATTTAATGCAATTAAACCATAGAGGTTGGAAATTTATATATTTGAAGAAGCTATTTTATAAGTAAAATTTTTAGAAGCCAAAAAAAACTATTATATTATATTATAAAATAGGTATTACATAAAAAATAAAATATCATATTATTAAATATTAAAATTAATCCCTAAAATATAAGAAAAAAAAAACTTATATAATCCTAAAAGATCAAAACATTATTTTATATAAGCATGCATTAGATATTGCATGGATGGAAATATTTATGTTAATATGTTTTTTAAAAAGCTTTCTAAGATTATTTTATGGTTTTAAAAAATAATTAAAGTTAAATTTAAATTTTTTAAGATATGTAGCAACTATAAAAAAGGGATTAAAATTTGGTTTATAAACTATTACAAATATTATCTATTCTTTGAAATTATATTTGTATATTTTATTTTATCTCAATATATTTCAAGATAAAATTTTAAATATAGTTTTTTTAATATAATTTTTACATATGAATAGGGATGTAGAGTAATTATCAAGTACATACAGTTGATAATATAGTTTAGAAATATATAGTTATTTTTAGCTTTTAAAGTTGGCTCAGCAAAGTCTCTAATACAAATCTAAAAACATTGAAAACAGTTCTAATAAAAACAAATTCAAATGCGTACTAAACTGAAACATTGATATATATATATATATATATATATATATTTATTTATTTAATTTTTTTGATTAATTAATATTATATTTTGAGGAGCCATATTTCATCCAGAACATAAAACATAGATAATTTCTTCAATGCAGTGAGCAATTACTCATGTTAATTTAATATTTTTAATTATAGCTTTAACTTGCTAATTGTTTAGAAATTTTTTCTGAATTTTTATTTGTTCTTTGATTATTGGTTTTAAAGTTTCAAAACATGTGTAACTTGATGTAATGAACATACTCTGAATTTAAATATGTTTTATGGAATACAAGTGTACACAAAAATCTTGTTGGTAAGTTTAGTTAAACAAACAAATGCTTTAGATTTCCAATAATCAATTTTTAGTTTTTAAAGCTTTTATGTGAAGTAAATGCATAATTATTATTTGTATTAATATTTTGTGAATAAAATAAGAAGATCATTTTATTCTTTTCGTTGCTGAATTGATTGAACATGTGATTACATATAAAAAATTTAAAATCAATATGTTTTGTGTTAAAGTTTTAAAACCAGTCATCATAATTATTCAATGTAAACATTTTAAATTATTTGCAATTCTTGTGAATTAAAATTTAAAGATTCTAAATCAGGATCACGAAATTTTAAAAGTTTATGACAATCTGGTTTCAATAGATAACTTATTCCATTTTTAATTTTAATTTTAATTTGGTTTTTGTTTTTTATTTTTTGTTTATTTATTTATTTTTTGTTTTGTTTTGTTTTGCTTTCTTTTTCTTTTTCTTTTTTCTTTTTCTTTTTTTGCGTACAAGTACCTGCAAGAAAATGCATTGAAAATTAGAACATAAGATTGCTAGTTTGATTTGGCAATTTTATTTTTATTTTATTTTTATTTTTTGTTTATTTAAGAATTTTTATATAATCTTAAATAAACTTTTACGTGAAAAGAATGTGTTCAAAGTTCATAGATAATATCTTTAATAAAAAAAAATTGTTGGATCATATAATGTTTTTCAAAGAAAAAACTGTCCAAAAACTTTTAAAATTTGAAGGGAATTAAAATTTACTATTTCAACTTATAGTTATATTATGCAGCAATATACTACATTTGCATAAGAAACTGCAAATTAGTATCAAACAGCACCAAAAATATATTTATAAACACATATAAAAAGTGTGAATATGTTTGATTTTATATAATCTTATATTTAAAGATTTTGCACCTACATAAAGGATTAATTTATTTTCAGTGGCTTTTATTCCTGTTATTAGTATTTTAAAACGATGGTTATTATTAAAAAGAACATAACATAAGTACCTCTAAAACTTGCAAAGATCTATGTATATATTTACTTATTAAAAGTTTTTATAGCATCATTTTGATTAAGTTTTTTTTTTTTTTTTTTTTTTTTTTTTTTTATATATTCAATCTTTCTCAATATTGGTTTATAATTTTACCTTTTTCTCAATGGAAATCATTCCAATTCAATTGATCAATTATAATTTTTTCAATTCTTATAATCATAAATTTGATTGAATTTAATTAAGCACATGTTAATTTACATATTTCATAATAATAAAAACCTCATGAAAACATAAAAAAATTAGAACCAATGCTCTAATGAGAAGTTATTGAACTCCCACCACATGAAAAAAAGGATAAAGTTTTAAACCTTAAAGATAATCACACCCCCAATATCAGAGAACGGGCACAGATCCACGTAAGAATTCATCCACATACGTTCATCAACGGAACAAAAACAGTCATCCACATCGAGCCAAGGCGGGGTTAAACAGTCCATCCATCCACGTTCATCACTATGACAGAAGTATTCATCCACATCGAGCCAAGCTGGGGCAAAAGTTCACTCACATACGTTTATTAATAGGACATCAACAGTCATCCAAATGGAGTTACGGCGGGGTCAAATTGTCATCCATCAACGTTCATCGACTGGACAGACACAGTCATCCACTTGGAGGCAAGGCGGGGTGTGAAAGAGGGTGGGATGGTGGACGGGCTTCGTTTGGGAGGGAGCACCGACCATCCATCCCATCCAAAGCCCAAAGCCCCTTTTCTCTTTCTCTCTCGTATTCATTCTTCATCGCATCGCATCGCATTTCGACTTGAGGGAGGGGTGGCCTCTTGAATTCTTCTTCTTCTTCTACTTCTACTTTCGTTGTTATTACTGTATGTTGTTGTTGTTGTTGTTGTTGTTGGTACTGTGCGGTCCTGTTGTTGTTGTTGTTGTGGTGGTACCCAATCTCGGGCTGCGCGGTGCGGTTGGGTGAGCGGAGGGCGATGCGCGTGGTGGCGGAGGATCTGGAGTTTCAAACATGCAAGCGATGCTGCTGCTGCGTGTCGCGCCCCTTCCATCTGGTGCTCACAACCTCTGGAGGTTCCAAATATTTTGTGGGGGCTGCGTGTTGCATCAGTGGTTGGAGGAATTCCGGTGACGCTAATGGAGATGGGCGTAGTGTGAGCTTCGGGATGAGGGGATGAGGAGCTCGCTCTGATTCGATCCGCGTTCGAAGAGAATTTTGTCTATTCGTGAATTTGGGGGATCGCTGGTTTGGGAGGTGGCAGCATGTGGTAATTCAGTGTAGGTATGACTGTACGAAGTGTGGGCTGGCTTCTGCGACGTGGTGTTGTAGCAAGAACATTCATGGTCGCAGGTTCGTGTGGTCTCTCGCTACATTCTCTGATTGCGCTTCACATTATTGAGTTGCTACTAATTACGCATTTTGTGTACGGTAGCATTGTGCGCAGCGTGCTAACGTACCTGGATCTGATGGCTTGTTTTGTGATCGTGGTTCGGGTGGGTTTCAGTTGTAGGGTTTGGTGTGGTAATTTAAGTAGGTTCATGAAACTTATAGATAACTACTGGTGGCAACAGTCTGTAGTGCTTAATTTACACCTGGTGATGGCCACTCTGGTATAATCTCGGTGGAAATGAGGCATGATAGAACCTGGGGAAGTAGCAAGATGGTGACCTTTGACTTTGCGTATAACAATCCTGTATTCTCTGACCGCGTACTTCACATGGACGTGGCTCCTGTCGGGAATGAGTTTTATGAGGTACTATTCCTTCATCTTCCTTGAACACATGGTTTTGTACATTGCCCCTGGCCTGCATGCTGGTGGTGATTATTTCCAATTCTGGCTGTATTTATTCCGTCTGACAACAGACAAGACAGTTGTATGACAGCGATACCCTGACTGAGAAAAAAATTGGAGGACTTGGCTTGAATCGAGAGAATTGGGGCTTCGATTGACGTTCTCGGTCTCTCAGAATGGTGAACTTAAGATTGAGCGTGTCATTGCTTGGTGGTGTTGAATCAGGCTGTAGGAAAGAGCGAGGAACAGCATATCGAAAAGCTTTATGTCAGCTCTGTCATCCTGGCTGCTCATTCCGATTACTTTATGAGGATGTTTTCTAATGGCATGAGTGAGTCGAGCTCTGAAAATGCCGTAGTGCACGTCAATGAAGAAGGTACACTTTTGACAGAAAAATGTGTATTTTCAGTGACAGGGCCGTGCACGTAATGCCAAGTTTACTTTCAGTAGTTTCTGGTTTGTTTTCTCACTTGATAACTTCCTCATTTTAATCGCTTTCTCACTTGATTGTGAAATTTTGCAGAAAAATTTGGGCTTCAGCAGCTCATCCAGTATATGTACACAGGGCGATTGTCAGAGCCATTAGATATCGAAGCCACGGTCATGCTCCTCCGTTTAGCAGATCGGTTTGCTATCTCGTCATGCATGGAGCCTCTAGCCAAAATTTTGAAGCTGTTCCCAAACACGTTGAGTGACTGTCTACTTGTTTTGAGCCTGCCAGAGTCACTGAAAGCTGATCGATCGGTCCAACCTGTGGTGGAGCATTACCGCAGCTACCTTGCTTCACAGTTTCAGGCATGATGTCGTCGGCAACCTTGCGAAAACTGCTTATCTTCCAATTTTCGTTTTGAGACTGAAGTGGCATGTAATTTCAGTCATAAACTTAAATATCAGCTGCAGACTGGATTTTACGGGTGGTTGACCTAGTGCAGGTTTGCAACTTTGATATTCCCGTGTGCTCCTAAGTGATTCTTCTCGTTGAATCTCAGGATATATCGTCAAAGAAAGGAGACTTCTTAACTTTGTCGATTGAGGGAGTGAAGGTGATTCTTGACAGTGACGCCCTGATGGTTTCCTACGAGGAAGAGGTGTTTCAAATCTTGCTTGACTGGGTGGATTCCAATTGCCGAACTGCAGAGGAAAAGCAACGAGCAGCTGAGGAAGTTGCTGGTGTGATTCGTTTCCCATGGATGACCGGCGACTTTCTCATAGATGTCGTGTCGACCAACCCTCAAATGCAGACTGCAGCATGCCAGGTTGGGCTCGGCTTCCAATGCGTTTCTTTATCTCTTGCTTTTAATTTCATTATGGTGTGGAAGTCCTGAAATTTCTAGCTTTAGAGGATCTTAACATGCTTTCCATCTCATTCTAGGCGTTGCTAATGGAGGCACTGAGGTTCAAGAGCTTCACCCACGCACGGCAACAGCAGATGCTTTGGAAAAAGACCAATCACAACCGATACAGACCCCGGAATAACACTATACTGGAAAATTTCTGGGGAAACTCCAAAACATTCCAAGTGAAGCAGCCGGATGGCAGTTGCCAAGTCTTGTTTGAGTTTCCACTAGAGCTCGTCATATGCATAGGTCAAAGCTTTCAGTCCCGCACCTTTCGTCTCTGCGACAAGTATGAATTCTACCTCGAGGCCCGCCACGGCCAAGTGAAAACAAGCTACAATCAACAGTTGACGTGTTTTGTGAACCTCGTGCTTCCCCCAAGAAATGATTCTGTAAGCTCATGCGAAGAGGTTGAGGATTTGAAGTTTGTAGATTACACCATAGCCATGAAGAGGGATTACTCTCAAAACTACGACACAAAAACTAGCGGGTCGTTTTGTTTAACTGGTGTAGAATCTGCAGGAGCTTGCATTCCCTTCACAGATTTCTTCTCTGGTTGGGGTATTGAACGTGGTTTCAATGTGCCGAGGTGGAATTTGACCATAAATGGACCTGTCTTCTTGAAGTTGGACTTGAAGTTGAGAGTCGAAGCGTTTGCAACTGACCTGGATGGTCAGTTGCAGAGGCGTGATGAATCTTCTTCACTAGCTACTTCTCATTTTGAGTTTCCACCACTGGGTCCAGGAACAACGGATGCAATTCCATTTTGAGAAGGATAGAGCTCCGAGCTCTGCAGGAAACCTTATGCTGAAGAACGTCAATTGAGTATTGCCAGTAATCGCGTGGCTCACATCAGTCGAACATACCATTATTAGCAGTTGTCGATTCTCCCTATTCTACCTGTACGACTGCAAGAGTGCTAGAAATCACTCGATGTTCAACGGGCACAGTTGAACCGCATGAAAGTTTTTAACCCAGGTAAGCTTCTGTCTGACATGTTTTGCACCAGTGGCCACTCATGTTCGCAAGATCACTGTCCATCTTTATGCAACGAGTCATGTTTAGTTTGAACACATGACCATATTTCTTGCATAGTTTTCTTCCAGCTTTGTAGAATCATGTTTGCTATTACAGTAACGACCCAATTTTCCTCCAACTCTTAGAATCATGTGGTGCAGACTTCGGCGCAGTGTTTTCGTTCCTGGAAGATTTAAGGCAACGTAAGTCAAAACTTTCAATACTCATTAACAACGCTGGAATCAACAATGTTGCTGAGAAAAGGAGGAAAATGTGCATTGTGGATTGCGGAGAATAATGCATTCCAAACGGTTTGAAAGTACTCATTGTACATTAGCTATAATAAAGGTGTACAATTAGCCTACATGTACATTTTGTGCATTTATGTTTTCTTCTTGAAGTGTAGATATGGAGAATCTTTTAAAATAAAAAAATAAAATAAAAATCTCAAGTTAAGTCCCCAACTATTATTAGAAAGCAGTTGGTTGAACAAAGGAGCAACCTATAGAGAATGTTTTCAAATTGAACTAGCAATACATTATAAACAGATGCCATTACATGATTTGATGTTTTGAATATAAATGAATAATTGAATGCATCGAGGTTAGTAAGTAGAGAAAGATGCAATAAAGAAAATAATTAGTATACTGTAATAAAGCATTGTAATACAATGGCGAGAATACAGTATGTATAGTTTTGCAAATCCAAGCAAAAACAAGCACCGAGAAAGGATTTGTTTTAATGACATAAATGCTTTGAATATTAGTTATTATTATTATGCATATTTTGTTTATTATGTTTATATTTAAGGATCATCACTTATTGTAGTGCAAATATATTTTATGAATTGTAATATAAATGCATAGAAATTACAATGAAATTTACACAGGTAATTGATATTAATTTTTCTATTGTGCAGAGACATCACACAACTACATAATGGACACAGAATGGGTACCAAGGAAAATAATTAAAAAATATATGTATGTATATATACATTTACCGAAGGAAAAAAATTGATAGTGAAAAACATTTTTAATTTTTTTACTTTCAATTAATAAGTAAATAAATGTAGACATTCATATTTCACATAAATTAGAGTAATTTAAAAAAATCGTTTTTACTAATATTATAATTACACGGAAATTCAACTAAACATACAATATTGATTAAAAAATGTCAATAATAAATGTACATACACCACAAACATTTTACACGAAATTAGTTTAAGTTTAAAATGAAAGTCAATCGGGTAATTATAATAGTCACATAAAAAGAGATTCTAAGTGATATTAGGTGCCTCAATTGGGAGTATCACAAACATATGCTCATATTTCAAGGCAGCTGTTGCCTGAGGCCCTTCAATGGATGCATGACCACCCATCCATAAGACATCCATTATTCATCCATCTGCAAGTAAAGCAGGAGGGGGATGTCGACCCGCTAAATTTAGAAAAGCCCCGCTAAATGGAGCAACGAAGCAGAAGCGAGGGGAAGAAAGGGCGAGGAGGAGGAGAAGAAGAAGATAGCGCGAGGTATAGCGGGGGGATGGGGAGAAAAAAAGGAATGGGGGACAAGCCTAGGGTGCTAATTCTGGCCCCGCTCAACCATTTTGCAGCCGCTTTCAAACTTGCAAATCGACCCATGCTCATCGATCGCTCTTCCGATGCACATCACCTCCTGATTGTCGAAATGAACGATGGCAGTGCAGCTGCTGCAATGCAAGCCGAGTGCGATCGGCGCTGTCGTCTCGTCGAGCTCGACTCATCCTCCTCCTCCTCCGGTGCCGTTGCGTTCGAAAACGCGCAATGGGCTCTCTCGGTGTTGCGCCACTTCCACAATCAGGAGAGGTTTGTTTCATCAATCTGGGTCCCTGTCCGTCTTCTTTCCCCAGTTCTTCCATCGGTCATCCAAATTATACTCTGTTGGGAATTGAGTTTCTTTGCCTTCGGTTATGATTTTAGAGTTGAGAGTTGTGGTGAAGTTTTCTGATGGTGGGTGTTTTCTGGGATTTTATTCTTATTTTTTATTTTTTTAGATTGGGTGAAGAGGAAATCGACACAAACCATGGAGGACATGAGACTGTGGTTGGACACGCAGCCAAGAAGAAATCGGAGGAGCCTCCCATGGCTGAAGGTAATTGTGAACGTTCTTTGTGTTCAATTTTCTAATTGCATAACCTCAATTACAGTTTACCCTATTCTGAGCTGTGTTTCTACGCAGCATCTCATGAACTGTGTCAAAATTCTGCTTTGTTTTACCCACCGAAGGATTATAATAACCGCAAATGTTAGGTTTTCTTTCTCTTCGATCCTGTAAGTCTTCAATTGTTTTTGTGTATCTTCTACGTTTCGATTGCTACCAGGATCCTTGGAGGCATTGATGGAGGAATCTGGGTTGTCTGTAGACGATGAGGACACAGAAATGGACAATTCTGGCGGTGAGAAGACACTACATAGTTCGCCGCAACAGATTAGTGCAACTGAGGGTATGAAAGAGCCTAGAGATGAACGACACAAAAGTGATTTGAACGAGCGGAACCTGGACTCTTTAGAAGGAGTGATTAAACGAGCGGACAGTGGAAAAGCAGGGATTCATATGGCACAAACCGTAGGCATTTGGTTGGCACGACCCCAGTGCCACGCTTTGGTAAATCTTATCAATTATTGCGCATCCAAAAGCTTGAATCGGATTTCACCCTTTAAAGAGATTGGCGGTGATATGACTTCCACGGAATTTGAAGGTAGTTCCTTAATTTGTTGTAGCTTTCATTCGCCAGACATTGTGTACAATGTGAACGTAGTTTTGTTTCCACTTCCATGCACACTTATACCCTAATAAAGTAACTTCTTAAAGTATTGTGGTTTTCTAGACTTCGTTCCAGCTGCAGTTGCATGTTATCGGCTGTGTTGATGCACTGTTGGAAGCGTGTGTCGCAGGCAAGGGAAAGTCCAACTGCAGTGATGGAAATAATTCTGTGTGGCTCCATAAGTGGCTTGTGAGGGACGTGATGCAAAGCACCTCAACTCATCGGAGTCCCCTCGATTGGCTTGTGGCTCACCTCACAGCATCTACCTCGAGTTTCTTCCTTGGGGCTGTGATAGATGATTTGGTGGACAATGCCATGACATGTAATGCCAAAAACATGAGGTCCCTCTCAGTCTATGTTCGACGAATTGGTGTTTTGGAATACGCTGCATTAAGGTCTGACGTGATTACTTATACCCTATCTATGTAGTCGACCAAAATATTCTCAAGTATTTAGTATTTTTATGTTACCCCGAAGAATAGATGTATATGAAGAGTAGGTTTTTATTATGTTATGCAATGCAGAAGCCATGGTATGTTGAATGTATATCATTGTTGCTTACTAGATGGTTCACAGTGGTTTGCGGATGACTTTGTTTCAGAGGACCAGAGCAGGTAGCTGTTGAGATACAGCGGATATTTTCGAATATGAGTCTAATCGGATCATCCGAAAAAGAGGGTGATATAAAGGATTTGCAAAGTAATGACAGGCAAAGGCTTTCGGAGATGTGGAGCTTGTGGCTAGTCATGGCGACACTTTGTCCTAAGTTTTTGGCTGCCTGTTCTCGCCATTGGTTACCATGCCTAACTGTGAAGGCAATTAAGACCTGCAGTATTCCCTTTGTGGATGTGATTGACTCGGGAGGTCCGCTCTCTTCTCTCTGGACCCTGCTGGAGGTAACCTTCTCTCCCGTCTTATTCGGCTTTGACATTTTGCGTGGGTCTTGATACAATGTCGGAATCGGGCAGGTTCATCAATATGTTTCTTCGATTGGAACTCGGTTTGATTGGACGTATCCTCCATCTTTGGTGTTCAACGTGATTACTCATTGAAATTAGGCTAGCCTTTGAAGCAGCAAAAGAGGTTGGGCCTTGTTGACCAGAGATTTTTGAAATTGCAGAGTGTTACTCAAGAGGAACCCAAAAAGCTCTCTGCATGGTTATCTGCAATTCTGAGTCGAAGGATTTGTGAAGTGGCGCCTGTGGGGGCAGATCTTGTTCTTTTACTGAATCAACTAATTGGGCTTTCCAGCACGGACAGGCTGGAGGGGGGGTTTCTCGAAATTGCGACCTCTTTGCTGCAAGGATTGTACCTGGATCTTACGAGGCATACACTACCACGGGTCATAGGTACGAATGATTCGTCTTTCCACATAGTCTGATTCATCTCGAACGTCAAAATCGTGGAAGCACCAAGGACGTCATCTTGTATCGCAAAGTGGTTGATGAAAATTGGTTCGAAGTAAATATCATATGATTTGATGTTTTGATGTAGCTGTTATCGGAATCGCTGAAACTTTCTTCGTTTTAAGCTGCTGAACCTTTCAATCGAATTATACTGGTGTACTCAATTTCCTTTGTTAACCTTGTATGACGTCTTTGATTCAGGTACCGAACAGATCATTGGTGCTGAGCCAGTGACTTTCAGCACGAAGGATGAGTATACGGGGTACTCTTTGTTTATTGACAATCTCAAGAATAATCTGAAGCAGTTATGGGCAGAATTGTTGAATGCCTGCTCGGAGTCATTTCCTCTTTCCAGTGGAAGGGGATGGTGGAGTGGAGACCCATTTGTTGGAGTGTGCCGGATGACTATACTATCTAGTGGACATTACGCAGTGGCTGAACTTTTAGCTGAAGAAACTTTGGTCATTCCTAGTGACAGAGAAGGACTGGAAAAGAAATCAATGAAAAGGCTATTTTTCGTGATGGAAGGTATGAAGTTGCTTGCTGGACAAGGCCGGGGTGCCCAAGTGTTGGAGATATGGTCGCAAATATGTATTTCTTCATTTGACAAGTCTGACAATGTGAAGGTAGTAAACTAGTCCGTTTCAAGTTCTCTAAATGCACGTATATTTCGTGGGTTTATGCTGCTTCGTTTAAATAAGAAGTATTACCGAGTTCGTCTCACTTTCTGACACCAAATAAGGCCCTTAGCATTTGGGTGGTTTGTGCCTTAAGTATAAACTCGATTTTTCGTTGTATCTTCATATTGTGTGTTTGCAGATACTTTGATGCTGATATGGAACTTCCAAAGTCTTTGACCATATCATTCGTGTGCTTGAACATTGATCCACAGGCATTGCAGAGGGCATTTGCAATTAAGCTGCTTCTTGATCCGAATTTTTGGGAGTCCCATCAATTCAATTTGATGCCCCTTCACACGATCGAGCGAAAAGAACTAAAAGAACTGAAAGATTCTACAGGACTCTCTTGGAAAGTGGTGTGGGTTCTTATTCGAAAGGTAATGGACTCTCAATGGTTATATCTGGTACCACTTCTACGCAGGGAAAACTTCTGGGAGCTTCACCTCGTGGTATTATTTATCCTTCAATCCCTTTCACCGGGCAAGGATTCCCGGCCTCAAGCAGTTGTTGTTCGACTAAAGGTTCTTAACTACTTTCCTATTTGATTCGTTTCTGGAGTTCCAGTTCACCTAGTATTACTTTTGTTTTCCAGAAAATGGAAGATTATGTTAGGTTAACCCATATGCTCGAAGGCAGTTGGTCGCATCTGCTTCATATCATATCTTTTTCTTTTTTAGGGGACTTTCCCATCTGTTCTCACCAGTGTTTTGTACTTTTGGCACATAACTTCGTACCAGCAATTCAATAGATGCATGTTGGATTTGTTCACTGTTCAAAGATGCATTGATTGAGAGTTGTTATCTGGCATGGATTACTTGGATGCTTCTACAGAGCTAATTCTCTGGTCATGTTGATTTTTTATCAGAATCTTCTGGGTATATTCTTTCAACGGGTGGAAGAGCCTCTTGACAAAGTGGAAGTTGAGGTTTGTGCATGTCTTACATCCGTCGCTTGTCATTCTGGAACCAAATATACCATTTTTTCGTGGAAATTTAAACCATTGGAGGCCCACATACGATGATTCTATCTTGTGACTAAAAGATTCATTTCATAGAAGTAACTTCGTTTAGTGGATCTCTTGATTTGCTTCAATTACACAAGTTGAACTAATATACATGTATATACACATACATTCATGTTTGTCAGAAAACGACAGAACTTAGTGGAGAACAAATTGGAAAGTGGCAGCGAGTGCAAGCTTTGGAGCATTTAAAACGAGTCATCGTTCAACAAGCCTCATCTTCCTTTGCAGTTTTCACTGTTGTATGTCCCTCTTTTTATTACCCTTGTAGTATATTAATGCTTGTACATGCATCTTTTATAATACGTCTTTCTGTTTTCAGGATATATGAGTTGATCAGTTGTCCAAATACATTCTTCAATTCGAATCCACTCTGGATGGCTTTATCTAAGTATCAATTACAAATGTCATGAAAATTATAATAAGTGGTCCTTGCATATGCGATGTAGATGGTGAGCAGCTTGCTTGACTATTCATTTGAGCGAAGTGAGCGAAAGGCAGAAACCTCATCTTTGCGCAGTAAGCTACTCCTTGTAATTCTTTTCCTCTAAAATATAAGAATCCACTTTTATCAAGCACAAGGGCAACTTACATTCATGTTCAGTACCTGGATTTTTATTTTAGATGATTGTGTGTTATCTGAAACATGGTTTATTGGGCATAGCATCGCGTCAGATGCGAGGCACAAGTACTGGATGTGATTTGGACAGACGTTGGTGAAACCAACATGCTGTACCATCATAGAATAATCGAGTATGTAATAAATTGCTAATCAGGTAAAGTTAAGAGCTTCGGTATCCGAGTGGTCTGTAAATCTTGGTTTCGGATCCTTCAAGGATTTGAATCTCGGTTTTATGAGTTTTGGGCTCAACTAGGTGTCACAAGGCACGTAATACCTAGTTGGATCTGTATCTAAAAATGTTGAGTTATGTGGTCAACAGATAACGATCGAAGGACACAAAGACGTGGTGTTGGAGCAAGTGGTCGAGGATTTTTTTCTAATTCCGTACTGGTTCCAGGAAGGCTTCATCAATCCAGCAACTTCGCTCTTTCGTCATCTGGAAAAGAGCACAGTTCTATTGCACCGCCAAAGTTCTCTCTTTTAGAAGAAAACCGACGAATGAAGTCAGGTTTGCAGTACAGCTTGGGACTTTGCCATCTATTATTGACAAACTGTATACTTCTTTGATTCTTTGAGATGCAACACATGCTACCTTTGGAGGTGAACTGATGTCATTCTCGATTCTTCTTGGTGCTTTAGTTCCCCATCAGTACTAGTCTGGAGAAAGGAACTGATTGCAATTTATTACACACTCGATTATTTTGATCACGTGATTGTATATTAAGAGAATACTAATCTGCCTTTCTTATCTGGATGTGAAATATACCTATGGTTCAATATAACTGCGTTTTATATGCCTGATATTTAATCTCTACTGAAATCTGTTGCGTTTATGAGTTGCTTATTGCTACTGTTCTTGTAACGAATGTTTTTGTCTTATGTTCATTCTTGCAGCTAGCTTGCCTTCCCTTGATAACGGCAGAAGGGAGAAACTTGGCTCAATTCCGCGTAGAGAAGATGCGATTAGACCTGTTCACAAGCTTTCAAAAGATGGTGCAGATGAAGACACTATAGATGGCACCATGCTTGAACTGAGTGACCTTCTTGGGCGAACAGTAGCCAGCGCCGTCTTGCAAGCTGCAGAAGAGCCTGATGACTGGTCTCCACATCCTGCATACATACTGGCTTCACAAATGAAAGATCGACTAGAAACCCCACATGAGCTAGCTACGACTATGGAGCAATACGAGGAGGTAACGATCAGTCATTTGTGTGGTTGCTCCTTTGTAGTACTATTTGTTGGCTGCTTCTGGGGCTTTTATTGTGCAGTTATATTGTGGTACCATGTAGGGAGTCTCATATAATACATTATTTGCGGTTTCAAGATCTGATCTGTGTCGTTTGGAACGACTCTAAAACACAGTCGGATTACAGTGAATCTTGTTTTATTAATTTGCCAAGGTACTCATGTGTTTGACATAAATTTTCAGGTTCTCCCCAAGCAAGTCTCCACTCCACGACACATATTTTTGATAGAGTGTTTTGGTCACAACCTGCTTCTTTTTGAGGTCTGTATCCTTGGTTATCAACGTTTATTCAATATTCATGTTGCAAATTAGAGGCTGTCGTTTCTTAGTGTGGTGCAGTAATTTTTTATCGCTGATTTTCTGATTTGCAGAAATGTTGTTTGTAGATGTTAGAGTTGATTGTCAAATACCGGCAAAGTGAAGAAGTGCTGAATTTTGTGCTTGAGTTTATCCGGGCACTTCTTGCCGACAGCATCTCTCGCTGGCATAGTGCCTTTCGCACCCGACGTGATCCAGGCTTTCCACCTCCCAGAGTAATTACCCGCACATGTCTATTGTGATCTTTTGATCTTATCATTATATTATTTACATATCTGAACGTCCTTGTTCTTATTGCTAATCTATGTCTTATTCTGAATCCTTCAGCTGTTTACGTCTGCTTATGTGCTCTTTGACTTCTCTTTAAGGTTAGAGATATTGTTTGGTTATTGCTACTTATTGTTGCCTCTTTCCTCTTTTCAGTGTTTTAACAAAGATCCTGCCCTTGTGCTCCAGGTATTCAAGGAGGAGAGACTTGATCGCATGCAAGTAATACGGCTGATTATTTTAGTGGCTGATGCTGGATGGCTTCCACAACCTTTGGCTTCTACCATAGAAATCATAGAGATAATTGATGCTGCTGATGTGGCAGACTTACTCCTCCTTGTTTGGCGATGCATGCATCATGCAAGGGCTAGTAACAGCAACTGGGGAGGGGTGTTGGATTCTGTTCCTCAAAGTGTTGCCTCTGCCGAGAAAGCACAGGTTAGTTTTGATCAGGTATTGAGTTTTTCTTCGTTCTTAGATGTATTCTTTTTGTGTGTTATTCTTATACGAGAGCCTTAGTTTCTTTCTTACACTTCCTCAATTCAAGTTTCACGGCTTTTGATTTCGTAGTGTATCAAGATGGTCAAGGAGAATTTCCTTTCAGGGCTTATCTTCTCAGTTCAATTTGCAATGCTACTGTTATTAAGTGTGTTTAATTAAGTTCTGACAATTGAATCACTACTCAATCATCTTCTCAGTTATCCCGATTGTAGTTTGTTACAATTACCTTCAACGGTGTTTGCTCATGTTATGCAGATGCAAGGTTTAGAGGGTGGCAGTGCCGGGAGCGAGGCCTATACTGATTGGGAGGGGCATCTTTTTGCAATACTCCGACAGAATATTGCTCAGATTGGAGCACATTTTGCGCAAGTGTATCCCAAACGTGACTCTTTGTAGATCAAGTTGCACCGCATTGAGCAACGTTTCTGAACAGTAGTCAACTATCAGGGAAATACTTGTATTATGTTAATTACCTGGGCGCTCCCCAAAAGGCACCAATGACGTGCAGACGTTTACTGCTCATCAACCTGTTGTTCTTCATGGCTCACAATATTGGTAAGAATTGATTCATCTTATCAAAATTAACAGTAGGGTTAATCCTGAATGTAATTGCTATAAGTTTATGTGTCCATGTTCAATTTTAGTGTACAAATTATCTGTCGAAGTTCCGATCCTTAGACACAAGTTTACAGGATGAATATAGGCGCATTTTACATTTTTAAATGGGAGGGATTTTCTTTCCAACAGGTGTAGGTTGCACCAGGAGATGCAGTGACATCTGTTCGACCTTCACTGGATCAACTCAACCTTCTGGAATTGCCCACTGAGAAGCCCAAGCTGTTGATGTGTTTTATACTATCTACGGATCATTTTTTACAGGAAAATAAATATATGAAAAAAGAAAAAAGAAAATGTTTCGGAACGTCGATGCTTATATTAGCGCCAGAGTCTGAGTCTTGCTTCATGTCTAATACCATGAAACCAATGCAACTCATGATTTGGTTTTTAGTACTTTTAATTACTTATTTCCTGGAAATTTCCAGAGTAGTGAGGAAGAGAAACGTTCATTTTCTTAATCTACGAGGGTATCGGAAATCCCAAAGACGCTTGATAGCTTGATTGACATCATGTGCATGCACTTGGTTCCAACTGCTGGATTCAATGCTCGGTAGCGATAGAATTCCTCATTAGTGCCTACTTGTATGTGGCCAGGGTGCTTCGTCGTCTGACCCACATCCCATTTGCTCTCAGCAATGAAGTTTAATTAAAATTTTCGTTCTTAACAACGCTGGCAATCATGTGTGCACTAAACGGGAATTCATTTGCAAATTCAGTAATCTACAAATCATGGCTATGAAGTTGTTGGCCTATTTCTCTCTATCCTGGGGTTGGTTACCTAAAAGTTGGGATTCCAGAGGTATGTGAACAAAGCAAAATTGCCTAAATTTGCTATGGACTTGATTCCACCATAGCGGCTAATTAGAAAGATGACTGCTAGTAAACAGTAACTAAATCAAAGATCTACAGTCAACAATTTTGTGATGTGGAGACGCCAGCAGCATGTTACATCCCGTAATTATTTTGCAGAGGATAAGCCACCGAATCCGAACCTATGAAGGTAAGTAAAGGAAAGCGCGTGTCTACAACAGGCTTCACCCAGAATGACGTAATAAATTCCAGATTCCTCACGACCAAATCCAGGAGGATATGATGCACTATGCGCGTCTAATTTGTTCATGTCTGAGCTCACAACTCTCCGAATTATGTAACGCATCAATTCATCCCAGGACTTTTGTACTTTCGGGATTATGCAAGTTTGGAGTTATCAGAAAGGGGTTGAGAAAAAGGGTAAAAAAGGAGAGGCCAGTGTGAGTTTGACAAGAGGCCTATGTTTGGAGATGATTATCTCATCCTCAGCGAGTGAGCGAGAAGAAGAGAAAGCAGGTCCATTCCTGATGAGATGGGCCCGCCCTGCCACCGTTCATTCATATGGGCATTCTTCATCCCCTCAACCAAGACTGTGAGACACTAAGGCTCATCTTGTTCTTCACCCTCCCCTCACAGCTCCAGTCTCAGATTCACAACAGCCTTGCGCATTGGAACATCCAGCCAAGCGCGTGAGGTGCGAGTGAGGAGCAAGTAGTCTAGTTACGTGTTTGTTGCAATGGCGCTTCGATCGGCAGCGACACAGGCAGCTACCTTGTTGAGGCTGCGGGGCAGGCCTGCACTCACTCAGAGCATCTACGTCCCGCTGGCCAGACGCTTCTCCACCACCCAGGTTGCCTCCGACGGTACGTGGATTATATTATCTGCAATCTTTTCGTTGAGGTGCTTGTAACATGTTGAAGCATTGTTTGTGAACTAGAAAAGGCCATATGCACGAGGTAGTCATGCACTACAATGGGTGTACTGTCCTTGTAAGAAAGTGTCAGACTCGGCGCATTGAGCGGATCGTTCTTGCATGATATTTTATCTTGTTTTGGGTTTCCTAAGAACAGTCTCTTCACCACGCGTGACGTTAGAGGTACTTGCCCTTCACCTCGTACAAGGCTTTTCTAGGGGTTCCTCATCTTGCATTACGAGGATCGTAGATGATTTTCGCATTGTTGTTACAGAGGTCCGCGATGGTCTACATTACGCCGAGACTCACGAGTGGGTGAAGGTTGATGGTGACATTGGCACCATCGGCATTTCCGATCATGCCCAGGTATATGGTTACAGTACTTTATGGCAATGGCTCACAATCAGCTACTTCTAATTTGCCCAGGAACTCTTTGAGAGATAGGCATTGTCATTCTCACAAAGTTATGAAACTCGTGCCGTAGAAGTAATACTAACTCAAATTGTCAAACAGAAAGCCTTGGGAGATTTGGTTTTCATCGAGTTGCCCGAAGGAGGAAGCGCCGTCACTGCTAAGACGAGATTCGGTTTGGTAGAGAGTGTGAAAGCCGTGAGTGAGGTTTACAGCCCTGTATCTGGAGAGGTCGTGGAGACCAACAGCTCCCTCTCGGAAACTCCCGAGACAGTAAGTTTTGACATCCTACAAGTTCCAGAAGTGCCCAATTTTGATAATCTCTAGGAAATTCAATCTAAACACTGATACCCAGGAACTGAACTCTTCTCATCTACTTTGCTCGTGCTTGATAACAGTTCCCATTCTGACTAACACATGATTGTTTGGGCAGGTGAACAGCAGCCCCTATGACGAAGGCTGGCTCATCAAGGTGAAGTTGTCTGACAAGTCCGAGCTCGAGAACTTGATGAACAAGGAGAAGTATGCGGAACACCAGGACGGCCACTAGTTGAAATGTTGCATTGCATTTCACAGACCTGAATTGTCTGGTTGAACTCATTGTGTACAAAAGTCGGAGAATGCCTCATGTTCGTAAGAAGTGCAACGGAGGAGGAAGACTGTAGTTGGTTGATGAATCTATGTGATTCTTTTGAAGTAAAGAGTTTGCAAAATGACTTGTAAATTGGACATCTCTAACTATGTCTATGTGCATGTGATAAGGAGGGTTTGCCTTAAGATCCGGCCTGGTTAGAATGAAATCTATTTGGCTTGTCTCTCGTTCGTCCATCTTTGCATTCGTCGCCCAGTATTCCCAACCACTCAACTTGAGAGTGGCAACTGGGTCGCCTTATCCTTATTCGCGAACCGGAAATTCGACGTAAACAGTAATTACTTTTTCCTACGTGTTGGCCAGATTAGATATCAAGATGAGACACATTAATAGTATTACTTCTGTTTCCACAAACAAATCCTGACAGTACCGCTAGCGCATAAGTTGGAACGTTCATCCAGTATCTATCATCGTAAATTTTGTATTCCCGAAGATAGTACTTTTGAAATAATAGTGACCACTGTTCTAATCAATAATTTTCTGACATCTTGGGGATATTTGTACATAACCTTGAACACTGAACGTAGTGAACAATCCATCCTGCAAACACTACAACAATGTGCACATTAAATACATCCAATCAATCATACAATACCAATCAACACATACCTTTTCTGTTATACTAATAAAATCATGTGTATCATAATATTTCTTTTTTTCGGAAACATTCCCTTTCTTTGCTTCAGAACTTTCTCTTTTACAAAAAGAATATTTTCCATTACGGTTCGTCAGCTGTGCAACGTCGTTTCCAATTGACAATAGAGTATTTATTTCTTCACACTGATTATTGCCTGGCTTACCCCTCGGACGTAGTTGACAGAATGCTTCTCGTCATGTAGCTTGTTGTTTGCAGATTGTTGTGGTGTATATAGAAACATTTGCACTAGGGAACAAAACATGCTTTTTCTGCAATAACCTTAGTGATTTCAAATCCAACTGTCTTTCATCCAATCGAAGTTATAAAGGTTTTAGCTAAAAGTACACTTTATATTCTGTAAAGTGTTCATAAGTTGTAGTGGTATACAGTGGCGGAGACAGATATTGTAATTGCAATCTTCCTAAATGCCTTAATAACAGTAAATTGCAACGTTCACTCAGAGGTTGAGCGTTCGCACTAGACATGTCTAAATCCACCGCATACTTTTAGAATACTGTACAGAGAGTACACCTCTACTGCGATGCCATCACTTAACTTCATCGCGCTTCGCTTCAAATGCGAAGTGAATATAGCAGTCCCATTCCCCGTGCTCGTCTATGCAAAGAATCCTACGGGAGGATCTGCACCAAGTCAGCTCTATCACAATCCATCAGCATCAGGTCTTCGATCGAAGATCTGATGTTAAGAAATGTGGATAACGTAGCTTGACCTCATACTGGACTTCAGATGATCAGAACCATCCTGTACCTTCGAAGTGAAGATTAGGGCGGAAAATCCGTTAACCTGCGTAGATCTGCACAGAAAACCTATGTGAACCTTACGGGAAGCGGTGACACTTTGTTGCGAATACGTTGCGATCTTCGCACTGGAGTACGTTTCTTGAGCTCTTCTCTACCCTGGACAGGCTCACAAATGATTATTGGCACTGAGAATAGTTGAGAGGACAAGTGACACTCTGTAGGAGAATGTTTCTTGTCTAAGATACGTGTGATAACTGAAACTTCACGCCATGCTAAAGCTTAAAGGGATCACTGTGCGATTTCCAGGTCAAACGAAAACTTACGTCGTTTAGGGAAATGAGTTCAGTGGTGGTATAGCTTCCCAGATGTTCCCATTCTTCAGCTCCCATGCTAAGGGCACTTTCTGCCACAGAGTTCATCTCGCTCTCACCCCTTGTAGATGTGGAAATACCCGACTCGGAGGGTAACGTCGGAACATATGACGCCGTCTGGCGGTACGAGCTGGACATCATGTTACCACTGTTTATTGCAGGGTGCCATGTCGTGGTAGGCTTCTGCTGAAGCTTGTCAACTTTCGCTGACGGTTGGTAGAAGTTCGGGGAACTAGTGGCAGGTTGAGCCGCCCCGTATTTTGCAGAGAAGCCTTCCATGCCAATGTACCTGGGTGTCCGGATGCTTTTCAGTGGTGATGTAATGGCATCCAACTCCTCGCTGGCAGGAATGTAGGAGTCATAGACCGATCGTGTAGGTCGAGTAACAGGCTTACTTTCAGGCTTGAAGGCGGATGTTGTGGAAGGAAACAATTTTTTATCAGCTGCTATGGCAGTGAAAGCTTCAGCTTGAGTAACAGGAGTGACACCCGTGGCTGGCGGACTCTTGCGTGATTTTATGGCGAAGAGCATTGTAAAAGCTAGAGCCGCCACAAGAAAGCCAATGGTTGTGGTGTGAAGGTCAGCTTCCTCATGAATATCCACCTCAGGGACGATCGTGGTACTCCCAGGAGCGTCGCAGACAGCTTCAGAGGATTGAGTAGGTCCAATACTCGAATGAACTTCCTCCATCAAGCTCTGTGATAGGGTGGGCCCCTCGTCCACAAAAGACTCAATGTCTTCAGAATCTTTCACAACACCATGTTCTTCGGCAGGGTAGCCCATGCTGACGACATCCTCAGTTCCTTGCCAAGGTGATTCAACAGAAAGTTGGTCTGTTGATATGTCCTCGAGGACATGGGGCACGAGATCCTCTACTATGACGGGAGAGGTGTATGTTCCTGACACCTCTAGCGTTGATATCTTTTCCACAGACGGAGTGACTTCCTCCAAATTAGAATCAAGTTCTACTGGTTCCATAGAAACATCACACACTTGCTCCTGTAGATATAGATACGTTGTTCAGTTATAGAGTTCGCGCGTAATAGAACGATAGTTACTCTGTGCATTCAAATTTAGACGATTGTTGAAGATATGTACAATGTCAAACTACCAGTCAGCACAGTTGCTCAAAAATGAATGCGGGTGGCAATGAAGCAACCTGTGAAAAATAAAAAACTGTATGCAAGAATAAAGCCGAAAATCAGGAACGAAGGCGGTTTACATGGATCATTTGCGGTGGTCGCTTACCGTAGAATCGGCAGAATCAGTGTCATCGGAAGGCAACACGTTCTGAGCGTCGACCAGTACATCCAACTCGGCATTAGATTCCAATTGCAGAGCTTCGACTTCTAAATTTGTGGCAAGGATGCTTCGGCTGCTTTCAAGGTTTTCACTCGTCAACGAGTAGTCAGCCAATCCAGAGCCAAGTTCGTCAGAAAGAGGAACAGCCTCCAATCCCCGTTCTTCGACAACGTCCTCCGCAGACTCTGGATCGTCCGGCTGGACATTTAGCTCTGACAAGCTCTCGGCAGTTACCAAATCCGTCGCACCCTCACTAGGCATTAACTCCAAGATGACTTCATTGTCTTCGGGCTCTGCGACGCCCTCTGTATCGTGAAATGTCCTACCGTCTTTAATCACGGTATCAGAGGTGCCTGGAAAATTTAACAATCCAACAGTGAGTTGAAGTTTTCAACGCAGGACAGGACATCCATTGATATCCACATTGCACCTAATGTTGCCCAAAATGAAGCTCAATGCTTGCTGCTGGATATCAAACTCAGTAACGTCGCGTGCAGAATAAGAGGGGACGGCATGCACTGTTCAACATGCATGATAGCCTTTCAGTCATTTTGTCACTCTCGATGAAACAACCATTTTAGATCAACATTGAGCGTAGTGTTCGAAGAGAAGTTACCAGATGGTGCGGACTCGCTCGTCAGACTAGCAACGTCTAACAGAAGTTTCCCTTGTAATTCCTTATAGTGTTCGGTGACGCTCTTTAACTGATCCAAATCTTCCACGTCGTGTACGGGAAGTTCAGCATCCTGGGCGGAATCGTACCCAAAACTAGTGTGCCGAAACGCGTGGCCTTCAGGTTGAATCACATCAGGCTTGAAGGAGATCGAGAGAAACTTCAATCCAAAGTGCACCCCAGGATCGCAGGGAATTTTCTCATGATCTTTCCCCATTCCCAAGAAGCCGATGGATACAGGTATAATTGACGTTCTCACAGGGGAATTGCTGAAAGGAGTAACCGCAGACTTGACACGGAAGGCCTCTGGGATAAGACCTTGACTGCCAGAGACAAGGGCCATAAAGCCCATCACACAAGTCACCATGACGGCAAGGACAACAAATCTTATCAACCTCTCATACCAAGACTCCGAGGCAACAGCCTGTGCTTCCTCTTCTTCATCGTAGATAAATTCTACCTTCGCAGAACAGTGGTGCACCATTGCTGCCACAGGTGATTTGTGTTCTGATGCTGCTACAGGTGGTTTGCTGCCACAGGTAGCTTCCTGGATCAAAGGGGTAGACTCAACTATTTCCTTGGCATCTTCGATAGTGGTGGTCACCTCGACTGCCTCCTCAAGGGGCTTGCTATCTAACCCGTCGAACATGATGACGTTGGCGCTTGCATCGCACTGCTGCTCCACCTCAATGCACTTCTCAGGATTGGGATGGCTGACTTCGAGTGCCACAGTTTCCACAGACTCGTGGTGACCCTGGAACACATCCTCTTGGCCAGACTCTTCCACTTGATTTCCGACATCAGTCTCCGAGTAGACGGGGAAGTCCTCCGTACTGAGATCCTTCGCAGACTCTGTGGATTCGGGAGGGTTGATCGATTCATCAGCACAAGAACACTCCTCTTCCGGAGGACACTCAGGGAGGGAATCTGCCTCGCAGGAAGCCGCCACCTCCGCTCTTCCCAGATCTCCCTCTTTCTCACCTTTGTTTTCTTGCACCCTTTCGTCATTGAAGAGGGCAACTGGTGTGTGCATGCAGGTGTCAACAGTTACACCGGCAGTAAATGCAACTCCACCCCTGGTAAAATGCATTCCAGAGCTTGATTCATCGGTTTCCTTCAGAGATTCAAATACAGGACTATGCACACTTGGACTGGGACTGTGCGTGCTAGGATTCTCCCCTGCTGTGAACGCAACCCCACCTTTCGCAACTTGAATCACACTGTTGTCATGATAGAAGAGGGGGTTCACCCGCGGTGATCGACTGATGTTGAAAGGAACTTCGTCAAAGTGCTCCGCGCGAGTGACTTCGAGCGGGATGTGGGCAGGAATATTTTCATCCTGAAGAAATCTCTTCAAACGTTTCTGCAGTTCAGAGATCGACACTTCTTTTCTGCCAGAGTCTGTCGTAGACACCACCGTAGCCGGAGAGTTGTAGAACGCTGGCCGCTCTAGAAGCACTTTCTGATATTTTGGCGAGCCGACGTAAGGACGCTTGGGACTCCGAGGTGGAATCGAACCGAACGCTGTTCTAGGCGTCTTGATAGGAGTACCCACTCTCCTACCGTTGAAAGATGAAAACTCATCCCGGCGAGTTCCTTTCGTGGCACTCCCCTCTGATGCTTTGGTCGGAGTAGTAGGCTCCTTCACTTCGGACTGTGACTGCGTACTCCTTAGCTGTCCCCCTGTGCAGCACAAAATACGATGTCTTAAGAAAAATAGTTACCAGCCGAAAATTAGATTGATGCCACCACATATAATCCACTGCAAAACTGCGTAATTCTCGCAGAAACCACTACTGGCTACTCATAATGAGAAAGGAGGTAGCCATGACATCGCCAGGGGTTTGGTGAGATTGCAACACTCTGCCCAACATCCCTCTCCTTACCAAAAAGCGATTGTTGTGCAGCCGGTCTAACATTACCAGCTCCAGCAGCCGTACTACAACGTCTCGGAGACAAGTGCGATTTCGTCGCCTTCGCACGCTCTGCGAAAGGCGACTTATGTCCCGTGCCTCCATGGAATGACATCTTCACCCCCTTCCGCGCACAAATCTCACACCCGGTTCCCAGCTAACTAAACTCTTCTCACGCTCCTCTCCTCCTCACAGCCACCAGGCCATGGACAACTGAACTCTCACGAGGCAATTCTCCCCTCCCGACCTCCTCACATACCCGCACTCCGTGCGTCTCAAGTTGAGCCTCGGAAAATCCCGCAGACTCCGCAAACTCCTGAAACCCACCGACGCAAGCAAAGCGAATTTTGCACATAACAGACAACTCACAACGTATTCCCTCGAAGAATTCTCGAAGGATATTACCCAACGACCAAATTACTCAGCTTGAAGCTACACCCTGACGCTTCGTTTCAACTGAGGAAAACAACCCTATCAGATGGAAACCGAAGCACAGGTGTGATAGTGAAGAAGATGGCATTCGGCTACAGTTCGTTTCTCAAGTAATCGAAACAGGGAGGTTTTGAGCCCGAACGATGGGTTTTGAAGGAGGAATTCGTAGCAGCCTTGAACGGGGAATCCCAAGGATCGGAGGGAGAGAGCCGTTGGGACATGAAGCCGTTGGGGATCAAATCTCGCCGCCGATTTCTCCGATCGGACAGCAGTGGTTTCATCCTTCCTGAGCGTGTTCACACCGCTCCAACCGATTTCGTTTCCGATTACACGTGGCGGGTCTGGATCTGCGTGCCAGTTTAGTGACTGTTGCTGTTGAAAATTTCACCGAAAATTAGGACTGTCCTCGTATTGGGACTTTCTAAATTATGGGGTCAGTGTACCGCGTTGTCTAATTTAGGAAGCATGCTTTAACTCCCGTTGGGGGGATTAGAGGAACCGAAAACAATTATTAGTACACACTTTCCAAGATGTTCTAGACTCTAGGCAGTACTTAGAATGGACAGAGTCAAGTAACATGGATTTGTGATTTGAATGTAAAGGTGTTTTCAATCTGCAATGTAAGATCCAACACAAAGCTGGTTGCTTTCAGAGAAGCACAGAGCATCCGCTCATTTCATCCAAAACTTGTAATGTACAATTGAGGTAGTCCAGCAGCGTCCCATTGAGACCTCTGTGGCACGCGCATGGAACCTGTAATAAACAGGGATTACGGTTTAGCCTAAACCTGTCAAAAATAGTTGCCATTCGGCATGTGTAGATTAAACTTCGCATTCATCTATCGCAACCTCAAAGGTCTACATAATCATTCAACTCTCGCGTTTACTACCTGCATGAGGCTAGCTTCCAACAGTCTAGGTCTCACTCTCTGTATCAGTCCTACTGTGTGCAACGAAGCCCATGATAAGACTTTTTATGCAAGCTCCTCACACAAAAACATGGTGCTACTAATTTTAGAGGGACTGTACAGCCTCTTGCTGAGATACAAACAGTGAGCTCACAGAAAGGAAATGGACGTAAGTTTCATTTGCAGAGCGAAGAGGTCTTGTGTCGATGAAGAACGTTTACTGATCCCACAATGGCAGTCACAAGAGCGCGTTTTGATTGCTGTGCTCGACAAGTTCTGCTTGTCATTGTTCTAGTCGTGGCATGACAAAGGTGACTTGGATGTTAAGTACTGCGCCGTCGCTTGGCCCCTTTCTTTTGGACGCCTTTATTGGGTGTATTTCGCTTGGTAGTTGTACCGTTGGCGGAGATTGCCACATCCACCGTCTGCTTTTCCTCCTCGGGTTGCTCTTCTTTGATGGTCTGGTCTTCCTTGATAGTCTCTTCTTCCTTGGTGGTCTCGACAGAGGGAAGCTGAACTATTCTCGTCACAATACCGTACTCCATAGTGGCGCCTTGGCTGGTGTCAGGAAAGGCTTTTGCACTAATCAATGTTGGTATCCCACAAACTCCTTCCTCCACAGCACGTAACCTCAGGCTATTCAAAGCTTCCTTAGGATCAACGTCCACTATTTTGGTTTTCTCTGGAGGTGCCTTTCAAATGCAAATCACACATCATCCTTACTAGATTAGTCTCTCGAAGGGATTTAACGTTACACTTGATAATAATGATACAACAATTGAGCATGACGCTCATCTACCATGGCCAGAAACTAATAATTGTATCTTGCCTCTGAAAGGTTGTAATGTGGGAGTGACGACCACTTCACAGTCGTTGCTAATCAATTCGACATAACAAATAGTTGTCACGTACCTCAAACGACAACGTTTGAAAAATGTCGCCACTGGAACACATACAGCCCTCCGCAAAGTGCAATTTCAATGCAACATCCAGTTCTTTCAGCCGCATGGTCTCCCTATTTTCAAACTCAAGCTTATGTTAGATTTACACATATAGACTAATAATACAGGCACTACAGAATTAGCAAAATATAAGGTTGCATACTTCATAATTTAGGCACGGCAGCACAACTGTTTGATATAGAAAAAAATTCGGAATGAATTTACGAATCCAATGATGACACACCTGCGAACGAGGCATGGAGGTTTGGCGAACGCGGCTGGCTTGAACTCTGGCCTGTTTGGAAACATTACCTACATCGCAAACGTTTGTAATTAGATAACCGACCTAATGTAGACTGCATGTGGAGAACTCTTTAGATTTTAAATACATAAATAATCAGAGAATTATTTGTTCTGTTCAGCTTGTAGACCAAAATCTAAGCAGATATGTGTCTAATCATGTTCACAGCGAAGTCAGTGACTCCCTACCTTGATGTGGGTTTATTACCTGAAGCTGATACTGCACAACTACATAAAGAGAACATGTGATACTAGCTTCACAAAAGATCGAAAAGTTACCTCAATTGATTTGATAAAAGGTAAAGCCATTTTTTGCCCATGAATGCTTGAAATCCGAAAGTACCATTTCACACTCTTCTTCTCTGCAAATTTTCTTAGCTCCATAAATAACTTAATTGAAAGGCCTCCAGGCGAAAGGCAGGCTGAAAAATGTGCTCTAAACGACAAAGACAGCAATCCAAATACTAGTCGCAAACCAAGTTAACATTGACACTTAGCCATGTAATATTTAGAGCTCAAACAAAACAAGACAAAATACTCAGTGGATCCTCAGAATAAGTATCATGGATATTAGTGGATACAAGGGAAACAGTGAATGAACTGCAAAAGGTATGAAAAGCGAAGCCTTTACAAAGGATAAGAACAAGCTTTGGCTTCTTACTTGTCCAGTAATAGTAGTAGCTAAGTAGAATGCGGTCAATATGAACGTATGGTGGAATGGTCCGATGCAGGCGGCTCATTATTCCTGATATTACCTGGAGACCGCAATTTTTGCAGTAACTGCTGTCTTAAAATGAAGTACTAAACTCTAACTCAAGAACTGAAAAGGAGCTTGTCGCCATCCAAACACAAAGTGCGAGCAAGCATCAAGAAAGTACAAGAAATTCAAACGCACCTCATCAACCCGTCCTCGGACCAGCAAAGCTGCACTCTTGTCTTTTGGAGTTGCCTGGTCCATTTATCACAGATTAACGAATTTGGGCAGACACATCAGCAGAGAAATTTCTACGTACTTGTCTATCTTAAGAAACCTTTTCCAAACCGAGGGCAAAGAATTAGCGCCCATGTGAACGACCCAAACGCTACTCCATTCCTTGGAAGTGAAACTAAAGTATGCTTCCGCCTAAATTTCAAAGATTTCTAAAATACCTGCAGATTGACAATAACCATTTTACCACCTGCTCGCACAGTTTTCAAAGGAAGATTACACGCAGGGGTGATCTGCAAGCTGCGAAAGCGATATAATAAATGAGGCCTGTAGCATCCAGAGTCTTTATTTTATGCAAACCAGAAAATGTAATGCAAAGAATACGACAATGAACGTTCAGGGAGAGAAATATAGTCAGCAAGAGAGAGAAAGAGAAAGAGGGAGAGGGAGGGAGTGGAGATAACCAAAGTAATAGATACCTTGTGCCAAGACACAACACCAAGTCAGCCTTCTTTGTATGCTTTTCTGCCGCCCTCAATTCAGCAGGAGGCAGCGCATCCTGACAAATGAAAGGAGTATTGACGTCAGTTCTATTAACTACACCATGCAATACTTTAGCCTACTCCAAAGCATAAGAACTCGGACTTATCACAAAGTCCCATTTGACAGTAAAGGGTCCGCAGTTACATACAAAGCAGACATATAATCTACAAGCAAATATTTTCTTACTGTTAATATGCACAATTCTAGTGAGCTTCGATAAATTCAAACCACCTAATACATCATGATACATAAGAACCTCGAAGATGCGGGTAAAAAAATTTATTCAAGCCATACCTCCCAGTCTACAATTGTATCAACGAGTTTCCCTCCACAATCGTGTTCCGTACAGCGGCGCCCAGTTGGTTTACATCCTAGAGTTTCCACCTCGAAGTCTCGAAAATACCTGTCAAAAAGGTTCCAAGGGCTATCACAACCGTAACAATGTTCGAGGAAACCATAACGTTGTTCAGAAATCTTTGTATCTGTATTTGCAGCTAAGGCCCTGTATAAAGAGGCAATCAAGAAGGTGAATTGAGATGTTTAAAGCCATCACAACTCACAGATTCGCAGAACTAAAAGCTCATATTTGCTTAACCTAGAAATTCGCACACGAATGACCAAATTGATCAACTATATCACAATATGAAGCACTGAAGGTACAGGATTGTTGCTAATACAGATCTTCGTAACCTCACTAAATAATCCACACAGGATTCATTGAATGCTCCATATTCATGGTCAAGCAACATATAAGCAGCCGTAGTACGGTACATACGTATCCAATCCAGAAAATAGCGCAGTAGAAACACTGGGACACACCGTAGAACAAACTTTTGAAACCAATTTATTGTACAGAAAGAAGCCCGTAATGCGAGAAATCTTACTCTTTGTCGCAGGAAGAACATATTTCGCGAAAGCAGTTGCCGTGAAGCTCAGCCAATTGCGACCTCGGAATTCCAGATCGTAAATGTAACCCATCTATATTCTGCTTCAAAATAGACGGAAACACCACGACCACTTTAGGTGCCAAATTTGCAAAACATACAAGACTCATCATCTCGACAACTAATAATGTTGGCTGAATTGCTCAAAATAGTATCAAAAATTCTGAATATTTGCACTTAAATCAAAAAGTAGTTCGGAAATTAGACGAAAATTCTGGGCAGTCCTTTATTGAAAACCGGCTTCTTGTACACCAACGTAAGCCCGACCAGCAAGCACCATGACAACGGGCAACTAAACGATGTAAAGAAGTGGCGAAACTCAAACAAAAAACTTAGCGGAATTTCAACCCAGAACTCAAGTCACTCATAGGCAAGAATCAGTATATCACCTGGCTAATAATGAACTTGAGTATTCCAGCTTGCTGAAGCTCAAAAAGAGCCATATGAGTAACGCCTGGTCGAGCCTGATCGAAGGGCATCTCAATTTTCGGCATGGGCTTTCCTTCATGCTGCAAAAAGAAAATATCAATTTGAATATGGAATGAGCATCAACGAGAGGTCTAGAATCCAACCAAATATTCACATATACACTCTTTCTTAACATCAATATAAAAGAATCACTGTCATGCCCTATAGTTGTTGGACAGATGCCCTAAAATACAAGTCTCACTATATGGCCTCACACCTCCGCTAAGATGCAGTTTCTTTCATAAAAATTAAGGATGATGTGTAACCTGCAAAGTCCAGATGCCTTTAGGGCCCCGGAAATCGGGGATTCCACAGGAGGTCGAAATGCCGGCTCCAGTGAACGCTACCAAATGACGACTCTGCAAATTACATACTTCTTAAATAGCTCGTACTACCCTAAAGAAGAAAATGGCATAGTTTCTGAGAAATCATCAGCTTCTACTCGTCGCGACACGAGCCGTTCCACAAACGGAAGGATAGACAAGGAAATGTTCCAAAACTGGATGTTCGGGAGAGACTTTCTGAAATGAGTGGAAGGGAACCAACCTCCGATATAAGTTGGGCCAGCTTATCGATCTTCATGTTCACAAATCCCACAAAACAAGCAATCAGAACCACGCATTAACCGTCCAGAAGGAGTTCATGAATACAAAAGAAACCCATTTGTCCCCACATCTGCTAACATGAAAAATGACATGTGCGATGGAGATCTATGCACAAGACGCAGCTTCCTCAATTGACAGACACAGAAGCCCACAGCACGTAGCTATTCCTTCCTTCAGTGTCAAACGTACAGAGGATTTCCAAGAAAAAGCCAAAGCACCATGGAATGCAGCGCTGGGAGATGCAGAACCTAGCACCACACACAGAAAACAACACCATGGAAAAACCGTGATGTTGCACAAAGCATTAAAAACTTCAGTTTACCTTGGATTGAAGATCTTCGGCTGGGTCATAGAGCTCTGGCATTCCCACTGTACCAACATCAGCCCTATACGACAACTTCTCGGCATATCCAAGCGAAGACATCTTCTCTCTTTAGACCCCGGAGCCTTTCTTCTTGATCACCGAGCTCCCATTCGGTGCCCACAACCGACTCTGCAACCCAATCAAGACACAAACCATGTCACAAAACAAGGACTCGATCAAACGACCACGCAAACCACATATCACCTCAAGCACCAATTCATTTGGCAGCATCATTGCAGCATCCAGAAAAGAATCCCCAACATTGGACCAATGTCAAAACTCATATCCCCGCACATCCAGAATTCTATGCTCCACAGCCACACACATCCCTACGTCCTCTCTCCCACCACGAAGCACCAAAACAGCCCATCCCTCCCGCTCCTCCGAGGCTCTCCGGTTACCATACCTTCAAGCTCCCCATCTGCACAGCACCAAACTGGGACCAAAAACACACTCAGAAAAAGAGAGATACGTGGTCACCTGATGAGCAAAAGTACCGCGACCCAGTTATATGTGCCGGTAGGGTTGGGCGGTCATGCAACATACCACGCTCCCAGCAGCAGCAGCAAATGGAGCAAAGCACAAAAGGAGCTCTTATGTCACAAGAAACAAAAGCATCAATATAAAAACAAACCAGGGCCTTACTTCCCTCCCTCCCACTCTACCTCCTTCCTTCCTTCCTTTCTTTCTTTCCCCCTTGCTCAGTGTGTTATTTTTCTCACACTAGTTTCATACTAAGTTTTGCCAGAAATGTGACCCCCTGCTATTTTCCATGGAAATGGGTCCCTTCTGTTAGTGAGGCTTTGCTTAGTTCACACCTGGAGCCCAAGCAAGGCTGCCATGAATCTCCATTTTTTAATGCAGTTTCTCACTCAGTCTCTCTCCCACATCAGATTTGTTTTTTGGCAATGACCCACACTCTCGAATATTCACGCATTGCTCTGTGATGCCTGGGTGTGGTCTTCTTTTATTTCTTTTTGGTTTAATGTCAAGTGGATGTTGTAGCACTTGCCCTGCCTTTTCTTAACGACGGTGCTATCTTTGTGGAAGTTTTGGTAAGATTCTAGAAATTTTAAGTAGAGTAGAAGTGGAGGAATTGTTGCGTTGGGTTTTACACTTGCGTTGTGTGAGTTGAAGTTGCACTTTAAGCTTTCGAAAGGTTGTTGTTTGAAAGATTAGTGGTTCTCACAAGTAAAAGGTGAAGAAATAGTTTTTATAAAATAATTAATATAAAATCTATCCCCTGTTTCATTCTATCATCTAAGTGCTTTCTTTTGAAAAATATTTTACTTCAACTTAATCATTTTCTGTTATTGAAGCCCAAATAAATGTATACTTGGAACAAAATGGATAATTGCATGTTATATTTAAGTTTTACGTTTTCTTTCTATTCTATTATTTTATAAAATGTTTTATGTAAAAATAAAAACCTTCAAATCTTCAAACTTGAAAATTAAACATATGCAACATTAACTTATGTTGGCTTGAGAGTATGTATATATATATATATATATATCAATCAACATATTAAAATCTTTCAAAATATTTGATGAAGTCCTAATGATGTTTTAATATTATTTTATTATTTTATATTACTGATTTAATATTATTGTGTTATTAAATTTCTTTTATATTCTACAGTAATATACATATATATTGTATAAAAAAAAGATATCTTTTGAATCATCATTGTTTTCAATGAATCATAAATTTTTACTAATACCCTCAAATAAAGCAATTTTGGCAATTTAGACTTATATCAATACAATGTTTACACTTAACATGTAATTGTTAAATAACATTTTCCCTCTTCTTGTCATTAAACATTCTCTACAAGCAATGGACACTCTAACATATTAAAAAATGTATTTTATTAGTATAATGAGGCCTTTAAGATGTAGGACATTGCCCTTTTAACATAGGACAATTCAATTAATCTGGAACAGCAAAAAGTTGTTATTAAGTTTAAAATGCAAATTTCCCCTCTTTTACAGCTCTAGCATACAGTGGAATAAAAGCCTTGTTTTATGTAATTATTAGTATCTTGTATTATGAAATCAGTGTTCTATATTACTTAATATATGACAAGTGTTATAATGTTCTACATTGGAAGGGCCTAAGTATGATGCATACAAACAAAATTTCAAATCTTCTTCACTAATGATGGCTTTTGCAATTGAGTATTATATGAATTTATAAACTCAAAATAATGCAAATTGATAAAATAATAAATAAATCAAATATGTTAAATAAGGTTAATAATAAATAATAAATATATATTTTTAAAAATTAAATCTAATTTTAATAATCTTAAAATACCATATGAAACAATCTTAAATTAAATTAGATATTAGCTACATAAAAAAAAGATATGGAGGATATCTTTTTATTTATTTATTTTTTTGCTTGATATCCAAATTATTCCATGAACTAACATTGCAATTTTGGTTTATTTTTTATTATTGATTTAAAAAAATTAAAAATCATATAAAAGAGAAAGAGGAAACAAACTTTATACTAACATATTTTTCTTAAGGACTAAGATTTAGTGGCAATAAAAATAGTTTAAATCAAAAAAGTAAAAATTGAATAATTTTCATCTAAAGAAACAAAATTTAAGCATTACTTATAATTTTTGGCTAGTACAAAATGCATCAAAGAAACTTAGTATCATGTTTTAATTTAAGATGCAAAAGTACATTCCTTGTATAGTTGGATTTGACAAAAACATGAACCATGTAGCACAATAATTTGTTATTTCATAAAAACTTAGTTATTCTAAAAACTTTACAATTCTATGTGCCAATAGTGGTGCATATGCGATTCTCTTTATTTCAATTTTTTTTTGTTCCAAAGTATTTTCATGAGAAAAAAAAAAAATAATGCATATAAAACTTTCAATATTTAATTACATTAGAAGTTTATTAATTCAATGTTTTTAAATAATAATTTGAATTGAAATATAAAACACACATTATTTTCTAAGTAATTACTTCTCTAAATATACATATATATATATATATATATATATATATATATATATATATATATATATATATATATAGATAAGATAATCTTTATAATTTGATACTTTCTAAGACTAGTTATTTGGTAATATTAATACAATGAGTTGTAACAATCTTATGGTTTTAACAAATATTTCAAAATAAAATAATAATTAAGCTTTAGATTTTATTATATTTTTCATTTGAAGAATTTTTTAAATTTTCAATAAAAATACTTTAAATCACAATTCATTAATCAAGATTTATAGCATAATAAAAATTTCATATTATATTTTTATTATTATTCTTCTTATGAAATATATATTTATATATATATATATATATATATATTAAAAAATCTAAAATAAATACTTATTAGATCACAAATTTAAATATATTGATAATTTTTTTTCTTTTAATATGTAAAACTACTAAAATTTTAAATAATTCAAGTTGTAATATATGACAATAATGACTAACTAACTAACTAACTAACTATATATATATATATATATATATATATATCTATATCTATATAATGGAATTTTAAGTGGACCAAGGTTTTTATTAAATTGATCCATCCATTATGAAACAAAAAATGTCCTATACATTCATTTTTCCACTATCGGATCCAAAACCAACAGAAACCAACCACATTCATCATGATTACTATATTCTTCATGATTGATAAATAAAACATGGGTGCATACACTTTGGTACCTCCCTTGAATATTTTGGTAGAATATTTTGGTAGAAATATTAACATGAGAACTTGTTCCAAATGGCATTTCCAAAAACATCAGCTGAAGAGTTTGGAGGAGGGTTACAAAATATCCTAAGTGGGCTGCCAAAAATTCACTGTTCCAAATCATACCTTTGTATTATTAGCGCTTTTCAAAATTTTACCAAAAAGCAGCAAAGATTTTACTTCTGCATGGTTGAGTTAGAACATATGGCAGAATGAAAAAGAGTAGGTAAATAATTAAAATAAAATAAAATAAGAGTAAAGGAGCAGGGTGCCTTATCAGATGTTTATGGAACTTAGACTTTGATCCAAGACATTATTCTAGTTAATTTCCATAATTATTAAGCATATGAAATACAGTTCATGCTTATATTAATAATAAAAACAAGATTACATTGAAACAAAATTGTACTGAATGAAGGACATGGTTGTAGATTTAATTTAACCAGTAATTTGAAATAAACATTCGGAATTCAGAAAGACAATGAAGTTGTAAATGTTTGTGATTTTGCATGAAATTAAAAATATATATAACTGGTCAACCATATGTAAAACTACAATTATAAAATTGGAATTTTGGGTTATATTTCATATTATTGATCGATATTATGTTTGAAAATTCTGATTTGTGAATGATTCCCAAATAGAACAGTGCAAAAAATGTTATAATAATAATTGTAATGAAAAATTATGTACTTAATGTAACCATTCTGTAAACCATTTCAAATCCAATGTCTTACATACATAGAAAATTCTAAATCTATCAGATAAAATTATTCATACAAAATATAGATCATTCTTTTGGAAATATATATATATATATATATATATATATATGATTCTTAACATAATAAAATCAAATTTCAGTAAATTGGATAATTTGTTAAATAGCCTATTTAAGTAAAAAAACAACTTTTAAAACATATGAATCTGAATGCAAAATATTCATCACGTTTTGTATAAATCTATTGTGGTTTATATTTGAAAGTAATCACAATTCTAAAGTCTTAATTTTATTTTATATATATATATATATATATTAATGCTTATGATTAGTATGAAAGAGAAATAAATTTGTAAGTACAAAGATTAGAATTTTATTGTCATATTTTTCTGAATTCCCAGTTCATCAAAACATAAACTGTTTCAACAGCATCAAACCACTTATATATTGAAACATTGTTATCATTAGATGTAACAAACCCAGGTTTTCACAATATCAAAGTCATCAAAGTATACTGTCATTGGTTCAGTGTATGCTTATGACCATAAATAGTCTATCATTCTCTTCTATCACTTAAAAAATTGTGCAAGAAAAATACCCACATTTCACAAGTGGCTTTTATATTCGTTGATGATATGAACTATTTTCAGCGAATCTGATGGCGCATTGAGGACGGCGTCCAAGGAAATGTAATAGAGATAGGGACGAATGCCATCGTCGACAGAGTGATTCAGTTGACGGATCCACTGACGAGAATATGAATCCGTCAAGTCGGGGTTGAATTATCGTCATCGCCGAATAACTTGACTGTCTCCGGTTAGAAACTTGATCAACCGGTGTAGCCTGTTACCGTCTCTCAGTCTCGCTTGGTCTCTCGCTTCCTTTGGGAGACTCAAATTAAAAGGCATGGGGAATCGGTCGCTCTGTCTTCTTATACTATCCAAACCCTAGATTGTTTTGTGCTAGCATTGCATCCCGGAGCTCACATTGGATCGCAGCTATGGCTACAGGGGCTGCACGCCGTGGTGGATCGCGTCTCGCGAAGCAGTTTGCGGAGAAATTGACGCTTTCTTCGTCCGTAGGGGCTCAGAATGGGGGAGCTATGGGGTCTCCGTGGGGGGTGCAATCAGGTGTGGGAGCGGGTAACGAGTTGATACCTTTTGGCGTGAGGTACGCGTCGAACCAGGCGGTGCGTAATCGGATGCGTTCCGTAAAGAATATCCAGAAGATTACCATGGCTATGAAGATGGTCGCCGCGTCTAAGTTGAGGACTGTGCAGGTGAAGGCTGAGAACTCGCGGGGGTTGTTTCAGCCGTTCACTGCGTTGCTAGGAGATGCGCCTGCCGTTATGGGGAACAAAACTCTCGTAGTGACACTTTCGACCGATAAGGGTTTGTGTGGAGGTATCAACTCCACCGTGGTGAAGTACTCGCGATCTTTGTTGAAGTTGAATCAGTTGAATGGCGAGGGTCACGACACCAAGTTCGTGATTGTGGGAGATAAGGGAAAGGCTCAGTTGCAGCGGGAATATAAGAAGCTCATCAGCACATACATCACTGAGACTCAGAAGGTGTCGATCAATTTCACCCAGTGTGCCATGATTGCCGACGAGATCATCAAGTCGAGCGAGTATGATGTCATCAAGGTGGTGTACAACAAGTTCAATTCCGCTGTTTCTTTTCTTCCTACCGTAGCGACATTGCTCTCTCCGGAGACGCTGGCAGGAGAAGAAGCACAGAAGATCGGTAACCTTGAGTCTTATGAAACCGAGGGAGCCGAAACTCAGGGAGAAGTTCTTCAGAACCTTGCCGAATTCCAACTGGCTTCTGTGCTCTACAATGCCATGCTCGAGAATGCTACCAGTGAGATGGGAGCACGTATGTCTGCCATGGACAGTTCTACTCGCAATGCTGGTGAGGTGCTTGACCGCTTGACTCTAAGTTACAACAGATCGCGTCAAGCCTCTATTACCACGGAGCTTATTGAGATCATCTCTGGTGCTGCTGCATTAGAGGGTTAGTTTGGTTCTAAACAAATGCATCCGATTTCTTGACTAAGTCTGATAGTGGCTGACTTGAGCATATGGCTCTCCTGCTGGACATTTAGTTTTCTAGTCATTATGGGGATGTCAGCAGTTCGGAAGATTTTCCAGATAGTAGTTCATTGAAGCATTTATGTTCTATCTTTGTGGATACATGCCTTAAGAACTCTAACTGTGAATCGGTGTTCAAATGCTGTCCTAGAACTAGGATTTCTAGGGCTTTTTCTTGTTTCAATTGTTGAACGGAGTTTCCTGTAGTGGATCTTCTGAGTAAGTACCCACCTGGGATTGATGTAGTGAGTCAGGACTTCATTACTAGTTTTTGACCGATCAGTGTCGTGTAGCTCGAGGAGATAATCGTTTGACCTGTGAAAGTTGGTACGCCATATGTTGCTTCTGGTGGTGCTACAAAGCATTTATGGACATATCAGTAATAAGATGTGGAGGCAGGATGCTCTATCTAGTTGCCCTTTCCCATTAGATTTCCAAAATAAAAGTGGTTCAGCTTCATCTCCTCGTGGCGAATGGTCAAGAGGAGTTAATTTTGAGTAGATCACCTGGATGCTTTAGCTCTGATACAAAAGAGTAAAGCGTATGGCATCTATCCGGGCATTTGGTTGTGAGTTGATGTAGCAGTTCTTGTCCTGCATTTGATCTGCTGTTTCTAGGACTTTCAGAATCCACCACCTTTCACTCCTGGTAGAACTTGTGAATCCCTTTCCCTATTTGCTTTCAACAAGCGCATGAACTCAAGTTTTTCAGTTTCATTCAATATTAAGCAGCCTGTTGTCTGCCAAATACAAGTCATAATAATGTGATGTGTCCCTTCTTGGCTTATCATTTTTTATGTTTCGCACGCTTGTTGTCCTCAATTCTAATCGTAATTCGAAGTTCAGAAATATTAGACATTGCATTTGAGATCGGTTCACATTACCAAATAGACATCAGTAAATGTGAGTCATAGAGGCATCAAGCCTCTAACTCACACTCTTGACATCCATCCTTGGAATGTACAATCAATGCACACTCTAACGGAAAAGAATGAGGATCCAAACTGATCATGACGATGAGAGCACTTTGTCAAAGATGCAGAAATCTATTCTGACAAATAGTTAATTTATATTGAACATTGTATTAAAAACCTGTTTTCCAAGCCCAGTAAATGCATTCGCTTCGCCTGTTCCTTGATGTCACATTGCATGCTTAGCACCTGTGTCGATTTCATCACGGTGGCCATGTGTTGTGTCAAATAGGGGATTTGAGGTTTATCTCCGTCATTATTGCAATGAATTTTGCCATTATAAAACCGATGAAAATGCTTCGAAGCTGTTACGCAGACTTGAACACTCCCTTCATGTGACACAAATTAATGGAGTTGTAAACGGGGTGCCGCAACCAAATCTCTAAAACTTGCTGTTTCACCTGGTTACACACGGCCTCGTTCCTTAACCCCTACTGAATTCCCTCGACTTGTTGCAACGACACCAAATTTAAGGCTTGGCTTGTGAGCAGATGTGATTGCAGTATCTGATGAGGTGAGGTGGAGGGGGAAAGAAAAAGGACAAGTGAAATAGAAAAAAGTGCAATAGGATTGTAGCTTTTCATTGATTACTCAGTGGTTTGCAAGTCATTTCTGGTGCATTCAATTTGCATATTCTTGTCACAATTTTATTCTAATAATTTTTTTGTTAAATTACCCACATTAGCAAACTTGATAATGTCTAATTTTTCTTACTAATATCATACAGTTTAACACTTTTTCTTAGTTCTTTTCTCAAATAAATTAATAAAAAGCTTCTTATAAGCATTTGTTAGTGAATTAGCTTTCGAATTTCCCTAATTTTACAATTAAATTCTATACTTTGTTCCATGGCAAATGGAGTAATTCCAAAGCTATAGTTAATTGTTTTAAAATATTGAATTTCTTATTGTCATTGACATATGTTTGTATACATGCAAAAACAAGTACATGTATTTATATATAAAGAAAATATTATATATATATATATATATATATATATCTCAAGTATGTTGAAATATTAAGAATATTCCTATATTTTTTACAATAGCAAATGCAACCTCAAATATGATAAGGTATCACCAATTTGACAAAGGTGCAATAATTCTCATGGATCCAGTGACTTTTTTTGTCTTCAAATGGAGCCCAAACTGCATGTTTTTATGATGTCACCTATAGTTAGATCTTGGCACATCTTTTTGACATTTTTCCTTGCACATTTTGCCTTGCATATTTTTGACATCTAAAACTTTCTCTATTAGAATAGCATTCCAACTCCTAAATGAGGCAACATTTTTCCTACTATTGTGCTTGCATCATTTAAATTGCATGCTCTCCAAAATTTGGATGTGTTGCAAACAATAAATGTTTGTCTTTTAATAATTTAACAAATTTATAATCCATTTGTCAATGCCACTTAGACAAGAACATTGGTCTATTACTCCACCATCTCACACCTTGGTCCTCCAATTGACTTATTCCACACCCATTGCCTTGTCATGCTAATGAAATATCTATAGTTGCCATGCATCATGCATTACATGGCTTCATTGGTATCAAATTCAAATATCCATGTGCTCAATATCTTGCTTTAAGCTTTGTTGCTCTATTTCAATGCATTTACTTGCAAAAGGGATGTTGTTTGTAATATTGGATATCCATGGATGTTTAGTGTGACTCAAGATATTCTACTCCATTTTTTGCATGAACATCCAACACTATCACAAGAACCATCAACATACCATTTAGGTCACATTGCATATATTTATATGCCCATGGACATTGTAGGGAGGCAAATCAATTCGACCCCGTCTATTTGAATCTTGGGATTGTTCTTGGAAATCCTTCTTCTTCTAGTATCATCTTGAATAACTCAAAGTGAGTGATTGGAGAGGCAAAAGAATCTTACTACTCAAGAGCTTACAATTTGAAGGATATGAGCACCACAATAGAGAAAGCATTGCCTCAACAAGCCATTGGAATGCTATTATAGTAAAGAAATTTTTAGATATTGAGAATTTGCAAGGCAAAATCTGCAAGGCAAAATATCAAAAAGACAAGCTAAAATCTAACTACAAGTGACATCATAAAGGTAAGTGGTTTGGGCTCCATATGAAGACACAAAAAAGTAATGAAATCCATGAGAATTACTATGCCTTTGCCAAATCCATAATACCTTATCATATTTTAGGGTACATTTGCAATTATCAAAAATGCAAGGGTATTCTTGATATTTCAGCATAATTTATTTCACCATAATCTTTGTAGTTGGATTTTATGACAGAGGTTGATCTTGCACATGCTAAAACATGGAAGATGCTCTCCCTAGCCAAGCATCAAAATGTGGTACTGCAGAGCGCACAAACGAAAATGACTCCCTTCACAAATTGCTATCTTATTTCTCTCAGTGATTGAGAATGGTGTCATTGATTCACTTTATTTACATCCCAAGTATACTATAATCGTTCACATGGCCTGTACAACTCATACTCTAAAGGGGCCTTTAAGCTTTGAATGTTTACACATCTCAGTCTCGTGCCAACATCGAAAGTTCAAATCTCCCCTTTAAAACTAATCGCTGAACTCCTTATCAAATCAACATATCACAAGAACGAACAATAAGGAGAACATCTCCATCACACTCCACTAGGCAATAGCATGAAACCAAAGAAGCAACGAATTTCAATCCAATCTAAAGAAATTAATCACTTAGTGATGATGTACATGCGCACTTAATTTGTGCAATTCCTCCACGTTTCCCACGGCGCCATGACCTTCGTGGTCGTGGTCATGGAAGAAGTATGTGAGGATGCCCACTGCACATAACACAGTGCCCACTAGCAACTTGTCATTGCGTTCTATAGAGCGAAACTTCAGCTGGGCGGCGCCATAGAAAGAGAGAGTGACCAAAGTTAGCATCACTGTCAACGTGCTCACTAACAGAACGCCGATGGCCAGAGCCAGAGTGGCGTTCGACCCGTTGGCCACAGCAAGGAACACGGGCAACGTAGTCGCACAGGGTGAGAGTGCTGGCAGTAGAATAAGTCCAGCGACTGCCATTTTTTCCATTGAATGGTTATGGGATCCGTGGCCACCCTTTCCAGAGAAATGCAAGAGGATGTACGTCGCTCCTAGGACAACGAGGATCACTGAAGCAATCAGGTGGACAGTTTCTTCTCCAGCAATAGTATTTGCCATATAAATTGCGCCAATTCCCAGTACTGAAGTGGACAAGACATGGCACACGGCACCAAATGCAGCTGTAACCACGTCCCACGATGTGCATTAGTGCCACAATACTTGCAATGTAGGGAAAACAGAATCGCTTACGTCACCAACATCTACTAAATTTAATTTCTTCTGAGTGCCTCCTGTCATCCACATCTAAATAAGTAAATGAATATATAAACATCTCATAGTGCAGGCTCAAGAAATGACTTAGTATGATGTCATTTAAATTCTCTTCACAGTTTAAACCAGAGATGGGAATGTTCACCGATTGACGCATAATATGTCTAAATGTGAGTAACTCTATCAAATCGAAAGTACTGTGCCCCAACGAAACAGTTTATTTGCGACAAAGTCCCACTCTCGGTTCGCAATAAGAATCTCTTCTACAACTACAGCTGTTGTACAAATTCACACAAAAGAATCGAAGTACAGGACGATTAGAACCAGACCTTCCTATTTGACTAGAGGAATATCAATTGTGCCTCAGACTCTGCTCGTTTCAATAAACTGCTCTCTAATTTGAGATAGTAAGACTACCAGATCGCTAAAATTCTCACCGAGGCAGTTCAGACAGCACCCAAAAATGAAACATGCACTCGAAAAATACTTACCAACTCAGTTATCAATGTAAAAACTAAAGGGTATTCACAAAAATGGACTTCGAAGGGTAAGGAACGTACTGACAAGAAGAGTGCGAGATATGCTCCACTTCTGCGCGCGACCCACAACCGAAAAAGGAAGCCAATGGGTAGGGATGAAGGAATGCAGGACTGAAACTGTTGCTATGCCCCCAATCGTCGACACCTCCTTGGCTAGGTCCGCCATCTTCCCACTGCTCAACACCCCAACAACTCTACATCGCTTCCATCACACGCTCAACGCTCCTTCTTCCAGCTGCAAAACATCCACAACCGGGATCAATCCCAGCTCCCTAAAACAGAACCAATAAATTCTACCAATCGCTCTTCAAACAAGACCCAAAACATATTGCAGAAATCTCCTCAACTAAAGAAGCCATAGCCAAAAGATCTGCTACGAACCCTCACAAACCCAGAACCCAGTGTGCAGAATCGCTCTTCACCTCTGTTGTCAACAATGCGTCAAAAATGGTCGTGATTGTTCGCGGATGATGGCGACGGAGATGCGGAGTAATGCAAGCTTGAAGTAGACGAGAAAAAAAAATGCATTAGGTCTACGGGATGGAGGAAGAAACGCAATGGTGGACGACGAGGACGGCGACGAAGTAGAAACGAAGTAGAAACGAAGTGGGGACGAAGTGGCGACGAAGGTCAGCCGTCGTTCGTTGGTGTGCCTGAGGAGCATGCCTTCGACCAGTTCAGACTATTCCCACGCTCCCATAAGGCGTGGTTGTTGAGGCTCATATTCCAGCTTGCGTTTTCAGTTCATATTTCTACTTTTCTTCATCCAAGACATGCAACAAAATTCCAATAGAATTTTTCACCTCGTTTGCTTCTTCAGCCTCTTATGGAAGTTTATTTTGAATGTTTGAATGTGTTTGGAGGTTTTAAAAGGATTCCAAAGAATGTAGTAGGTTTTAGAATGATTGTGCATGGCAACAAATCTTTCCCACTAGCATTGAGTTCCACACAAACTAAATAGAATTATCAATTTTAAAGTATATATATATCAATTTTAAAGTATATATATATATATATATATATATATATGTATAAGAGCTTATTAAAGCCACACCTCATATTATCACATTACCATCTCATGATCAATTTTGTCCATCCCTTGTTTATGTCTCTTGTTCCATATCTCCTATCCCCTGTTTCCACCTCCATCCTTTGTTCCCTATCCATGTCCCCCATTCCAAGTCCCTAAAGATTAATCATCATATAGTTTGAAAGGTGTGGTTTTAACATTGAGGTGTGGTTTAACAGCTTTATATATATAAATATATATACTTTAAACTTTTAGTGATTCTTACAAAAGCATATAGTTTCTTAAAGCCAATGATACTAACCTTTGTTATTATTTGATAATTTTTTTTTATAAATTTGGTATATTTTATCAAAAACTTATAATAAATTAGAGCTTCAAGTATCTTTTAGAATTATTTAATATATATATATATATATATATATATATATATATGTATAAAGCATTTAAAAGCAATTAGAGTTTTTAGAACTTATAAAAAAAATACATATTTTTTTTAAAAAAAAATTACAAAAGTTTTTATTAGACTTTTCAAACTCTCTTTTAGTAACTTTTTGAAGGCATGGTTGCTACAATATAAGTAAGAAAAGAGACACTTTGGTTTTGCCAATAAAACCTTTAAAGCAATCAAAGTATTGCCTTGTCTTTGATTTAGCAGCTACTCTTGTTTTTAATTCTAGTATCCTATTTCTCTTGTATTACTTGATCTTTAAGTTCATTACTTTTGTATTTGTAACATCTACTAGTAATTTTTAAGTACTTTCAAATATGACTCAAAATTTGTTCATAAAGGTTAATTTTAAAAATAATTCTTATAAACTAAATTTTGATTTTACATCCATTCTACTTAAAGACGTACTCATTAGATTATCAATAGAATAAGTTTTTTTTTACATTGAATATGTTACTTTGAATTATATAATGTGAAATAAAATATCATTATATAGAATTTAATTAATTATAAGTTATAAAAAAAATTCTACTAACTCTTAATCTTCTATTAAAACCTAAATGTAATTTATAAGGTCAACAATAAATATGTATCTACAAGAATATTGAGTTCATTTAACAAAATTTTCTTCCAAGGATCTTGAAAATCTTAGACAATATCTTAGAAATCCTTCTATATCACTGAAAATCAAAACAAAAAACACAAAAGATGAGCAAAAATTATTTGCAACCATTAATAATTACAAATAAAAATTAGAATCAATTTATTTTAATAATACATCAAAATATTATAAAATCTATTAAAGGCCTTTATCTACATTATATATAAACTATTTCTTACACATATTTTGTAAAAAACTACATAATAAAAATATCTATCTATTTAATTTATAATTCTTAAGAAACAAATGTAAAATCATTATTAATTTATCATTTTTTTAGGATTACCAAATCAAAATACCATACATGAAATTTTAAAATATAATTAATATATTTTAAAATTAAATATTATTATATATTATAAAATATATTTAGATTCAAATATATAATTTTAGTATTATTTTTTATTTATATATTTTATCATCATAAATATTTGGTTATTTATATTTTTTATTGAAATTAAATTATAATTGCTTTTGAAACAAGATTAAACAATTCCAAAAATCTAAAATCCTTTAATCTACAGCAACATAAATTCCATCACAATATAGGACAAAGTAGACTATAACAAAAGAAAATAGAACAAAACTGAATAGAAAGATATAAAACCAAACTTTACTAAGAGAAAGGATCCAAAGCCATGACCATGACTAGTCTTGTTTATACTTTGTTTAACCATCTTGTAACTTTTTAGAATGTTCTTAATGATAGATCCCATGTAAATAACCATCTTAAGTTTTTTTTAGAATATTTTATGGTAGACCTTATTTAAATAACTGTCATAAGTTTTTTTTTAGAATATTTTATAGTGGATCTCATATAGTTCACTAATCTCGCTTCAATCCTAAAAACTTATATAAAATTTTCAAACATGACTTCAACCATCTATCCCTATGCATCAACAATTCAAATATCTTATCTATATCATGTTCAGTTAATCCTCCTCTACTAATGTGGAATATTTTTATTTTGCTTCTGATGGTATCTTCAAATTATTTCTAAATAATAGATGAGATTTTGTGTAGGTTTTCACATTGCATCGTAGATAGAATAATCTTTTTAGAGGACTTTGTACTAAAGTTATAGACATCCAATGCCATGGCAAAGGTAGAGGTGTCGTATTGTAACATGACTATATGATGAAATATGATAATATGGATCTTATTATAGAAGACCCAAGTTAAAAGATAAAGTAAAAAAATATGGAAAAAATATAGGAAGGTAGTAAAACTTTTATTAGTAGTACTACCTTTTTATAAAAGTGACTTTTATTTACTTTATAAGGCCATAAACAAGACAAAATAATGTAGATTGGAAAAATAAATGATATAAATATCTTTAAGAGAAAGTTAAGAGTAAATTCTAATAAAAATTATCTAGAAAAACTAGATATTAATATCCTAGGAAGATCGGATATCAACCTGGGTCAAAATCACACCTTGAGGTACAAAACTGAGTACCTATAGCAACTTAGGGATTCTTTTGTAGATCAAAGAATAGGGTTTGATAGCAAATTAGATAAAGTTTCTATAAAAATTAGTTTTGGGCGATTTGGATTTGTAATGATTTTATAAGAGCTTTACAAAGTCAAGTTTGTTTTCGAATGACTTGAGTTTTGTGAAATAAAATAGGATTGACGTTTCTAGTCATTTCAAGAGTTTGATAATAAATCTACAAGTGAAATTTTGTGGATTAATGGTTATAGTTGTGCTTAATATGTATTATGAATTTTAGTTCAATCTAACGGTTGAATTGAGGATTATTGAGGTTTAGTGGATCAAGGTCTCTAAAAGTAGAATTTTAGGTCTAATGAGGATTTTTAAGATTTCTTTCAATCTACTAGTTTGATTGGAGTGAAATTTATGTAAAAAGATATTAGACTTGTTTTGCTATATGTATGAGAATTTTAAGACCAATTGAATAGTGAAAAGGAGAGATATTGGCTCTGGGAGATTGACATCAAGGTTGGAAAAGGAGGCCAACCAATATCCAAATACGTTTTTGAGAATATCTTCTATTCAATAAGTCTGATTCTTTTAAAAAAAATTATACTTGTTTTCAAATTAATTATTGGAAAGTGTGCAAATTTTGAGTTGTGATCGACATTTCATTCATTAGTAATTAAGGTGTAAATCTGTTGTAGGAATTACTAGAATATGATTTAGAATTAGGATTTGGTTAAGATTTGGTTAGAATTTGATTTAGGATTAGAATTTTGTTACGATTTGGTTAGGATATGGTTTAGGAATTAGGATTTGATTTAAGGTTGGTTAGGATTTGATTTAGGATTAGGATTTGATTAAAGTTTGATTTATGATTAGGATTTGGTTTAGGATTTAGGATTTAGTTAGGATTTGATTCAGGATTAGAATTTGGTTAGGATTTGGTTTAGGATTTAGGGTTTGGTTTAGGATTGATTAGGATTTGATTTAAGATTTAGGATTTGATTTGGATTTAATTTAAGGTTTAAGATTTAGTTAGTTTTTGGCCTAAAGTTTGAATGAAGTCCACTAGGATTTTAATTAGGATTAAATTAAAATTGAATTAAGATGTATTTGAGATATATTTGTGATCATTCTAATATTTCTTTAAGATTTCTTATTATTTCTTTGTAATTCCTTTGAGGTTTCTTTGAATTTAATTAAAGTTTACTTAGCATTATTATAGTCTAATTAGAATTTATTATTATTCTATTAGAGTTAGAATTATGTTGTTGCAATTTCCATTCCAACTTCTATAGTCAGGTGCCTAGAGCATTCTCAAGCAAGACTTCATATATTACAACAACAGTGCTCTAAAATGTTGTCTACTTCATATTCTTGTTGGTCATCAAGTATAATTAGTGGTGGTGGTGGTGGTTGATGTAGGTCTAAAAAGTAACTTATCTTAGTATAAAATATCTCGAGTTACAAAACATAGAAGATCAGATAGACCCAAATATGTGTCATAAACTCAAGGCAGTACGCAACATTAAAAATTACTACAAAAATGTAAAAAAGTCTAAGCTACCAAGATACCAGTTTACAGATTTGAGTTGATATAGTAAGTGGCAATTTAGTATTGAAGAATAATACCTAATCACCCTCCCAAAAGGTCTTATTTTACTAGTATCAGAATAGGTAGAATTTGCCTTACAAAAGTATTGGGCTTCTAATTGTGACTAATTTCTCAACTAAGTCTTAAGATAAAAAATACTAAGTTTATATATAAAATTGTTCCTATAGGAGGCAATTACATCAATATATGAGCCCAAATTACTAAAGATCACCAAAAATGTAATAAAAATATTTTAAAAACTTATAAATTCTTAAGGTGAATTTTTCTTAAACTTCAATAGCTCATATTTCACAATCGGATTATCTAAACAAACCAAAAAAATGTATGAAGTATTA